GCACATTTTAATACGTTTGCGTATCAAAATCAGCCTTTATGAATTGACTGGTGTGTTACTTATTCGTTAGGTAAATTAATTGACTGGTATCTTATCCCCGACTTACCTCTGGATTCTGCTTTTTACAGCTAACATATGATAATATGCTAAAATATGTTAATTTGGACCGTAAGTTTAGTCAAATAAAAGAATGGTGCCCGCTACCAATGACTTCAACAGGGAATTGCGGTGCAATATTTCAATATTACAATTTTCGTCAAATCTTTGGAAAACACCACTTTCAGCGTTTTGATTGTCGAGGAGAGTTCATCTTAATACTTTGACGTCGATAAAGCCGCTTTAGGTCGATTCCCCATCGCTGTTACGGCATTTATGTAATAGGTCAACGCCATTTTTGCACTTTTTAATGAAGTTTTGAATAACTGTTAAAATCGTATGTATGTCTATATACTTGAAAATGTATTGGTAAATATAGATCTTAATGGTAATAAAACTTGACATCGATAAGTTGTCTAATATTATTTTTATCAATTCATTTTCAATAAAAAGGGTATAACGAATCTTGAAGTTGGTTGTCTAACAAAAAGGTTTGGGACTTGTCAGGAAAAACAGGTATTAAGACATTCTGCATTGACTATAGTTAGTATATATAACATACCAAATTTGAAGACTTGATGTCAATCATTACTACCTCAAGTGAACGCATACAGTCAATGTAATACCATTCAAAATCTATATCTAAAAAAAAATCAAACAGCACTTTGCATACAGTTTTCAACCTGAGAATATGTTAAATATGCCTATAAAATTAAACTTCTATGAGAAGTGCACGGGTACTTTTACAGCCTGCGTTTATTTCGTAAAAATCTCAGAATAAATATTGGTATTGGTAAGTTCAGTAATACATATAAGGACCGTTACACATGTTATAACCCCTGTAAATGTAAATCATGTATGTCTTCAAGACATGAAGTTAAATCTTACCTTGATGCAGTGTGTAGAGGGTTCGTTGATTTAGAATCAACTCTGTAATTCACAAACAAGAAAGGCTATGCTTAGCAAATAAAATTTAAAATAATATTTAATAAATGATTTGAATTCTAAATCTTAATAGTGTCTTATTTTTTGAAGTATGATTATTATAGTTTGCATCATTTTGTTTTGATCTGATCTGGAATGTCTGAAAAATGATCTTTATCAAAATACTACATATTCAAATTTGGTGGAATGAATGATTGCAAAGGCTATGCTTTTATTACACTGAAAATAAAAGTACAAAAAGAGAGTTTATATTTAAGATTTGATAATGGTGCTTTATATCTGTAAGCCAATATTAAATTATTTGATACTGAAAATATTTTAAACATGATGTATAAGATAACGACATACCTGTTGACGTTTGATAATCAAAGTTTTGGACTGGAAACAATTAAAAACAACTTTTGAACCGATAGTATGAAAATCATGAATATGTTTTCTTTTCATATTATGGTTAAAACATATCACATACAGGTTTTGCCCATATCCGTTTTTTTTTCAATTTACATCAAACTATTGACTGTTCGTAAATAGCAGTCAAGAAACAGTCTGTTTAGAAGTATGCAACTGCTGATCGACGGGTCAAAACTTATATGTTCAAATGTATCATTTCGTCTATTTATATCTATTAAAATCTCCAAGCAATAAAATTTTATGCATAATTATGTTACTTTGATTTCTGCTGGAAGTCGCTATTACCAATCTTCGCGTTTCAAAATGCCCTCAAAAATTGTCAACAATAAAATAAAATTCAGAAAATTAAAACGGTTTAAACAAGAACTTCCACTGTCATGGCGTAAATACCCCCGCATTCCACTTTGTCAGAATCAACAGTGGCCATTTAGAACTCGAGGACAACCTCCCTGTCAAATCTGTAATTACTAAGCCAGTGCATTGCTAAGTTATGAATTCTACATACATCAAATGTGAAAATGTCAAAATCAATATACTGCCGACAGGCATTCTTAAACATTTGAGCAGACAAGCTTATTATAGTAAAAATGCCTGTGACCTTGACATTTGACATAGTCACCTAATAATCAAACGGGATCATCTGCTAGTTATAAACAACCTCAATATCAAATATGAAGACTGTTGACAAGAGAAATTGAGCGGAAAAGCTTTTTGTTTTAGTCAAGGCCCTGTGACCTCGACCTTTAACCCGGTGACCTCAAAATCAATAGGAATCACTCAATGGTTATGATCAACTTTTATGCCAAATATGAAGGCAGTTGGTTAAAGATTTCATAAGTTATTGGGCGGATTCAAAGTCCCTGTTAACTTGACCTTTGACCCAGTAACCTCAAAATATATAGGGGTCAAACTTTTTTTAGTCAAGGCCCCTGTAACCTTGAACTTGAACTGATTGACCTCATAATCAATAGGAGTCATCCACTAATCATGACTAACCTCAATGCCAAATATGAAGACTGTGGGTTAAAGGAATCCTAAGTTATTGGGCGGACAATATTTTTATAGTCAAGGCTCTGTGACCTTGACCTTTGACCTGGTGGCCTAAAATTAAAAAGGGATTACTAGTATCTACTAATCATGACCAATATAAATACAAAATATGAAGACTGTGGGTCAAAGAAATCTTAAGTTATTGGGCAGACAATGACAAATCGACTGACGGCCGGACGGACATGTTAACAATTAGGGTTTATGTGCTTTTTCTTTGATCCATAAACCAGTAAAATTACTACATAAACCAGTTGGATTATGAGATTTCCTTCTTTTTGACTAAAATTATGGACGGAATGAAGCTCATAGACCATTGCATGTTCGCCCGGACGGACGGACGGACGGGGTGACGGCCGGACGTCCCAGCTGATTCCAGTATATCCCTCTTACAACTTTTTGTGCGGGGGTATAATTATGAACTGTAATACACTTCAAAATAAATTTACGTAACTTTGAAAAAAGGGGCAAAAAAAAAATGAAATTTAGTTCATAAATAACAAAAATAAATTTCAAATGAAAGTTTACATCCTGATTATTACAGATTCAAGTAATTAATAAGCTTTTTTAACAAATTAATTAAAATTACTGTTTTATGCATTATTTTTTAACAAGTTGAAATGAGATGATTTTATATGCATTTCAATTTGAAAGGGTTGTCTCTATTTAATAGATTCGTGGACAAAGACTATGAAAGCAAATATATAAGTAATGTTGCAATTTTTGCGAGAAATATTTTTTTTCTAAAATAACATAAGTTTTATTCAAATACTTCTTCACTACTGCTTTTTTCATATACTTTAAAGTTTACACTCTTTGACATTTACAAAACTATAAAACATCACAATCTTAGCATAGATAACAGAATAAAAAGCTTTAATAATATTTTTGTTTCCCAGTTATCTATAATAAATCATACTTTATAATGCAACAATGAAATATATTGCACTCCTAACACTTGAATTGAGATTTTATCATAGAGGATTTAATATAGATAACTGAAATTAAACTCTTTCATGGGGTAACTAACTACTGGGGTAAAATCAATTTATTTCATCTAGATCACTATCTTCAAGCAATGATTTACGCACCAATACCAATTAAAAGCTTACCTATTTCACACTACATTCATATAATAGACTTGCCCAGCATTTAATTATGGCTCAGTCTATTCTTTTTTCAGGGATTTCAGATATCAAAATCATGAAACTAAGTGGCTAACAGTAACAGCTTGGTAAGTCTGTACAAATGTACAGATGTATGGCTTGATATGGAATGGTATTTTTTGGTATGGGTATGTTATGTATGTTATGCTATGATATGTTATGTTATGTATATATGTATTCCAGGTTTTATGAAGTTCCATCCACCATTTCTGGCACTGAGAGTACGGACCCCGGACATGTTTCCATTTATGCTCATAAAAAATCATTATCTGTTAAAAGGTAACCTATAAATTTTGAATTTGCTCATCTGATTCCATACTGATTGTAAATTTAAAAGGCAAGTTCAAGTATCAATGCAGGGTGGCCTGTCACAATACCGGTGTTAAATGGCATATCATTGTCAACGCTAGCATTCTCAGATGAATCATAATTACATATAAAGAAAATATATCAATTTTTGGATGGCATGCATGACTAACTTACTCATAAAAAATAAATTTTAATTCAATTCAATCCAATGATATATTTATATAAAGGGGAAATGAATCATTGTGATGAATCTCCTGTCTATGAGCACTATCCCTATTTCAAGGGTGACTGAAGGAATAAATTTTGAAAAACACTACCCAATGTTACAACACCATAACACACAATCTTCTCCTAAACCTGCTTGAGCCTAAAGTGATAGCCTTTGCTACCAGTATAAAGCCAGGCCAGCCTGCACAACCGTGCAATTAACATTAAATAAAACAAAATCCAATTTCAAAAAATGATCTTTATTTTGTTATTATGTAAATACTGTACTTAGGAACCACCCATATAATTTGCTCCGAGTTATTAGGAAAACTAATATAATAGCATTGCCATCTCTGGTATCATTTATAAAGTATCGTTGGAAATTTTCAATGACCTATCTTTTCCTAAATCGGCCAAACATGCGTCAATTATCTCACTTTAAAAAGGCATTAAACATCCACCGTAACTATTCACTTATGTCCCTCATCTTATAATCATGGGGGCCAAATCATGTTGTGTACAAAACAGAACTGTTCATTCAGCTCACTTCATCATCGTAAAGTTTTTTTATCAAGCCAAAAAGATTACTTCTTAATTCAAACAACATGAAAATCTAATGAAATCTCCTGTATTTTTATATATGCTTCTTTTTTTTCTTTTTTGGAAAAAAAGACAAAATATTTAAAGTATTGACTCTAGCTATTAATGAAAATAGATATATGGTTCCAAAAGATACTGGTGGCATTATGAAGAAACATGGATGTGACCCCAGCAGGGCTCATACAATTATAAAATCAATTTTTAGTAACTTACAGCAGTACGTCTCGTCAGAAAAATCCTTACAGTCTCTATAGCCGTCACACCACCATTCATCCGGGAAACAAACACCCTGGTCACACTGAAACTCTCCTCCTCTACACTTGCTTACAACTTGCTGGAAATCTGAAATACACAGATTATCATTAAGACTTCGGTGCAGCTTAAAATCATAATAATGTAATTAAAGTCTGAATGATGCTGCAAGGTTTGTATTGTATAATTTTTAATCTGCTTTCTTGTCTAACAAGAATTTGTAACAGAGTTACGAACGTCCCCCGCCTCAGGGAAATTTTATATAAAGCATACAATTGTGATATTTCAAAAGATATTGGTATGGATCTCAGGACTTTTAATCCAAAATTATGATCAATGCTACATCTGCAAATACAACAATTTATTTATCATAGAAGTAAATTGAAACACGAAATTGAAAAAAATCTGTCATGCTAAGCTTTGACCTCAAAGTGTGACATTAACCTTCGAGGTAGGATACAAGTTTTAAACAGGGCATATCGCTATATTATTGACACTATTTGTGAAAATCCCTTGAACTATGAAGAAGTTATAGATCGGACAAAAATATACCCTATAACAGACTATAACAATATTTGACCTCTAAGTGTGACTTTGGAGGTAGAGATCCATGTTTTCCGCCTGACATATCGTCTTATTATTGTGATTATTTGTGAAAAGTATATCCCTTGATCTATGAAAAAGACTGGACACAAAATAAACCTTATATATGTGTTATGTCAAAATCCCTCAAACTATGAATAAGTACTAGATCGGACACAAAATATACCCTATAACAAACTATGTTAACTTTTGATCTCTGAGTTTGACTTTTAACTTGGAGGTAGGAATGCAGGTGTTGGGCGTGACACATCCTCTTATTATAGTGGCTATTTGTACCGTGTAATTTCCAAATCCTATGAAAAAGTTATGGACTGGACACAAAATATACCCGTTAACAGACTATGTTAATCTTTGACCTCCGAGTGTGAACTTGACCTTGGAGGTAGGTGACCAGTTTTTACGTATGAGACATTGCCTTATTATTGTGAACAATCGTAGCAAGTTTTTACAAAATCCCTCATAAGATAAGAAAGTTATGGACCGGACACGACATATACCCTTAAATAAACAATGTTGACATTGAATGAGCAAGTGCGACCTTGACGCTGGAGGTCGGGGTCTGGTTGTTACGCATGACACATCGTCTTGTTATAAAAAAACAAACAATTGTGTTATTTCAAATTCCTTTATTAAATGACAAAGTTACGGACCGGACACGAACGTGTGATGGACGGACGTACGGAAAGACGGACGGACAAATCCTATTTCTATATCCCTTTTTTCTTCGTCAAGGGAGACAGCAACTAGTGAAAAACAAAAAACCGTGATATGGTGCAATTTTCTAAAAGAAAATTACCGAAATACTTAGCTTGAATCAATACAGAATTATTTGATCAAACAGAAAACAAAAGTTGAAGGCCGCTTTATAGAAATGCTATAAAATCATTTATTTGTACTTGAAAACATACATTTGACTTCTGAAACAGCAGACGCTGCAATTTCTTAGCTTATATAATGAATATATTTGCTAAAAATAACTCAATATTTCTACATTGTAGAATGTAATTTCTATTATACAATTATTCCAAATGCTTTTTTCTAAATCAAAACCTTAGATAAACCAAAACATAACAAACTTGCACCCTCACAGACAGAAAAATCATGCACAATAGCATGTTAATTTTGCTCATAAGCTTGGCATTTTCCTTTTTTGTTGTTTTTTATAAAACAAAAATAAAAACAACATGTAAAAATCATCCATAAAGCATGTTATAAGGTCATCATATTCTACGGTAATAGTTAGTATCTAGTACAGGAATTTATGAAACAGGACACTGTAATGGTCATATAGGAACTTTGTAGCTTTACTAGTAGAAAGACCCTCATACTGTTTATATTCATGGGCGACTATCCAGCTTAACAGATCAAGTATCCCTCGGTTAACTTTATATGACCACAATCTATTAAATTTTGACAATACAAATATGTATTTGTGGCGGAGTGGCAAATTGGTTAAGATGTTGAACTAGTAATCTGAGGATTGCTGGCCGTGTGGGTTCAAACCCTGTCTGATGCAAGTCAATTGACATGAATTGCTTAGTACTGGTTGGTTCCAGGAACAGGTTCAAGAGAGTTTCAATAACCTTAAAGTTTCCAACACAATCGATTTATCTGAAATAATCTTGTATGAACTAAATACATATTTTATGATAATATTGTAGTTTACTGCTTTTGTCATATATCTATGTATATTACTACCAATTCATCCTTTTGATAAAATGTAAGAAATTAAGGTATTATAATAGCCTATTTCACAATATGTAGCCCATGTGTATAATACCACTCATTTTAAGATGTAGTTAAAAATGTATGCATGTTAATATATATGTATGTTAATTACCACATCCAATTTCATCCTCGCTGTCATTACAGTCATTGTTACGATCGCAGCGTTTCTGTTCCGGGATACAACGATCAGCTTCTATACATGTGAACTCATGTGGACCACAGTAAAGGTTTTCTAAACAAACAAATATAGATATGAATCGATTAAGGCTATTTATGAAAAAGAAGTTACAAGTGACATTATGAACAATACACTTGTACTAATGCATATATCAAAATAATACAACAGACCAAACAATTGACATAACCTTCTATTTCATATTTTGAGAGGGACATGACTTTCTATTTCATTTTTTGTGCGGACATAACCTTCCATTTCATATTTTGCGAGGTTTTGAGAAACATCATTTGTCAGAAAATAATAGTTGATCTATTATAATAATACACTGTCAGACCTATCATATTTAAGGTATAAGCTTGCTCTTGACAAACAAGCACTCAGCAGTACACTATTATTTTATACTAGAACTATCACTAAATGTGAATAATACCCCCGCAATACTGCTTCAGAAATGAGAATTCAAAGTTACAGAATATCTTGCAAAAGAATTGAAATAGAGTTATGGTTATGGGCAATTAAAGATAGTTGTGTTTCTTGATGTTGCATTTCCTTGATGTGCTTGACCGTTGAAAAAGTTTTATTGAATTACTCTGTAATAAGTCCAGAAAGAGTTACACTGCTTAAGCACTGCACTTCCTCTCATTGCGCTGGACCATTGAATGAAGTAGCATTGCATTTTAAACATTAGTTTTAAAGTTATTCACCAGACAAGGAAAATGAACATATGGCAATAACTATTCAAATACTGAAGAGTGATCTCTTGTTAATGTGCACTGCACTTCCTCTCATTGCGCTTGACAATTGTATGAAATTGTATTGAATTCCAACAACTAGTTTTCAAGTTATGCACTTGACAAATAATAACAAAGGACTGTATTTTTTCCAAATAGAGGTATGGTTCTTGTATACTGCACTTCATCTTACTGCCCTTGAAAATTGTATGAAGTTTCATTGATTCCAACCATTAATTTTCAAGGTATGCATTGGACAATAAAAGTAATAAAGGGCAAACACTCTTAAATGAGTGAAGAAATAGTAATGGTTTCTGTACACTGCGCTTTCTCTCAATGTACTTGACCATTGTATGAAATTATAATGAATTCCAACTAGAAGTTTTCAAGTTATGCTCCGGACAAGAAAGAGAAACAATGGAAAAGTAACAAAGGGCAGTTACTTTAGAATAAATCTGGACATAGTTATGAGTTATGGTTCTTAACACTGCGCTTCCTCTTAATGTGCTTCACCATTGTATGAAGTTGTTTTGAGTTTCAACAAGTAGTTTTCAAGTTATGCTCCGGACAAGGAAAGGTAACAAAAGGCAATAACTCTGTAACTAGTCAAGATTGGGTTATGGTTCTTGTGCACTGCACTTTCCCTATTGTGCTTGACCATTGCATGAAGTTGTTTTTAATTCCAATCAGTAGTTTTCAATTTATGCTCCGGACAAGGAAAGGAAACAAAGAAAATAACTCTGTAATTTCTTTAGATAAAGTTATGGTTCTTGGTCACTGCACTTCCCCTTATTGTGTTTGACCATTGTATGAAGTTGTATTGAATTTCAACCATCAGTCTTCAAGTTATGCTCCGGACAAGAAAAATGCAACGAACCGCTGGACCGACCGACCTACCAACCGACCGACCGTCGAGCGACTCCTATATACCCCCAAACTTCGTTTCGGGGGTACAAAAGAAATAATTTGTATTTAAAGTTATGATCTATATTGATGAAGCGAGGCATGTTACTGATATAATAAGGGGACGTTAGATTTAAAAGAAGAAAAAATATACAGTTGTACTTTGAACTTTCTTTTTATTAATGACGTTTTCCGAGACTTTTCATAAAGACATATAGGCAAAGTTCAAACTGTTCAATACAATTTCTTTAAACTTAGCATGTAGGAAGAATATGATAACAGAAACATTTTAAGCGGAAAAATGGGACAAATACAACCCAAGCTTTTGAGTTATGGAAATAAAAATGTATTTTATGAACCTTAATAATTCATATATCAATGATCATAAGGAAAACATCTGTGCTCTAATCTCAATGGCAATCAAAATTAATGTACTGGATAATAACCAAAATGTTTATTTTCCTAATAATGTATGCTAAATAACCTATTAAACAGAAGTAACATGAATTATTGAAAGAATGTATATGGTGCCAAACCGCCAAATATAATTTAATTTAACTACTTTATTCATATTATCATATTATGTTTGTATTATCTTTATGATTTTGAAATACTAGCATTTCCGCATGTGGGAACACGTATTTAAATATCGTGTGTAGAAATTACCGGGGAAAAGAAGTTGACCACTCATCGACTAGAAATCGAAAGAATACCTATACAAGAAAACGCTTTATACGAGGGATGATCAAACATTAACCGGACATTGTGAATGTTTTCTTACTGTAAAATGCATTTACATAAAAATACACGGAACATAAATCGGAATCTATCCCCTAAATGATAAAAATACCACTAAGAAATATTAACAAATAAAAGAGTTATGCAGTTATTGGAATGTACATGTAAAGCAATGCGGCGTATGGTATAACTTTCAAATTGACGTTAACGACGTCAGAAGCGTATTTCTTTAACGAAGAAGCTTTTTACTCATTAATGAAGTAAGCCAATACGTGTTTCACATGATGTTGATAGTGTCGGATCAACTGCCTACATATATTTCTGTACAAATCGGTATCGTATTGTATTGTAATAGAATGGATGATCATAAAGAGCTCTTGTAATGACGCAAATTAACGGTCTTTCCCTCTGTAACTTCATTGCTCAGCAAATCGCACATGCAATAAACGACACTAGGTTTTACGTTAATGAAATGTTGCTGAATAAAACAATAATTAAACTTACAACAAAAATGCCATTTTTAAAATAAATAAAATGCATAGCCGATTGTGAACAGTGACTATTAAACTGTTGAAACAATTTCTCCATAAGACAATTACGTAAAATAATAAAATAATTTATACAATTGTAAACCAAGAAATATAATACGGTGTAATAAAATGAATTAACAAATTATTCATAATAAAATTCTAATTATAAATAGTGGACTGCACCGCCCGTAGCAATGTCCACTGTCAATCGACTGCCAGTTCGACGTCTCGGCAAATTGGACGTCACCAACGTGCTTGAAAAAATTTCTTTCTTTTTCTTCTCCCTAACTTGTTTTTCATTTCTATATTAAACTTTCTAAATCGTTTGTGCTAATCAAAAACTGAATTAAAATCAGTCAATCACGACGAATTTGACATGTTTTTAAAATTGATTTTAGCAAGTTTAAGATATATGCCAATTATCTATATTTTGATGAATTTGAAATCATTTGATATTTTGTCCAAATAATAAAAATGAATTGATGTTATTTATAACTTAATGTTTCTTTCTATCAGTTTATCCGAATTATCGGTAAAGTAGGCACCCGCTGATTGGTCTCCTTTGTCGTGATTGATCCATTTATTATCAAATTTTGAGGAAAAGCTCGTACATGAAATAAAAAATATATTAAATGTGAATTAAAAAAATATACTTATTGTATTTAAATGACAAAAAACAGAAGTTTAGAGAATATGATATTGTAAATAGAATTAAACCTTGAATAAAATTGATTTACCTTTTGGGTTATAGAAACAGTGAGTGGCTCCCTGAGAAACCGTTGAAACTTTAAATTGGGAGCAATTTGTATCCGCCTCCTGTCAAAACAAAGGTTCGTGTATTCGAAATATGTTGTTTTTCAACTGATATAAGAAAAAGCCATGTTCAGTGTAACATTTAATGCATGGCACAACTGTCCATATAATTTTACATATCCGATTTCATCAAATATGACTTGTGTTTATTTCAAATACAGGATGAAATATTATGCAAATTGAAAATATAGATTACGTTCAAATAGGTTTCAACTAGACTGTGTAATGTTAAACTTGCATAATTATAAATGAAATGTGTCAAATATCGATTTAGTAATTTGCCTTTCATTTATTTGATTTATGATATTAAAGTTACTTCTAATAATGACTACATATATAAAATAAAAGCCCTTGCCTTTTCAAGAATGAAATCAGTCTCCAACAATCTAAATGTTTCATTTGTATGAACGTATTCCATGTCAGCCAAATTCTTTCTTTTGCAAATTGAAATGTTAATAATGTTAAATAACATTTCAGATTGACCTGAAAAGAACAGAAATATCATGTTTTATCTTGTATTCATTCTGAACAATAGCAGTAGAGCAAACATACGTACGTCAAAAAGAAGGAAATAAAGCAGCGAACACAATTCCAGAACACGTTTAAACGATTTCATAATAAGAGAAAAACAGATTTCCAAATATTTAATTTTTCGAAAGAATTTAATGTCCTGTTACATTTCCTATAAATGTTAATGATTGGTCAATTTGTCATCTTCTGCCTTTTTAGCGTTTCAACACTTACAGTGAATTAATATCCGTATATAGTCAAATTACCACTTAATTTATAAAACCTACACGTTTCTTTTCTATAGACAGAAAACTTTATTCATATCTAAGGTAATATTTTAACTTAAACGATGAGTACTTGACACACACTCCAAGTCTATTCGGTAAATATTTCGTTCATTTAAAGGTGTAACAGAGTTTATTATCATGCAATACTTAGAACTATCAAAAGTATGATGTTTTTCGCTTATTCGGACAATTGTTGACTAAAATAGTTAGTTGATAGTTTTGACAGATAAACAAACAAACAAGTTTACAAAAATAATATCCACGAACCTTCTACACTCACTGCAATATCTGGAACATGACCATGTGGCACAAATTCAGTGACAGGAAAAGTTCTGGTAGATTCTTCAAATTCTAAAAATAATCATGAAACAAAGACAGCGTTTGATTTTTGGATATATTTATCTGCATTTTAAAGTATCTATAATGATAAACATAGCAGCGCAAATGTACCATTGATTGAATTTAACAAAAGTGATATATGAACATAAAAAATATTTGATTCCAGATTAGACAAGGAAAATAATTAGATGAAAATCGCAGAACCGAATTAACTGAAGATGTTCATTAGACATATTGGAAAGTATGATTCATATTGCTCATGCAAAAAACCAGTTTAAGTAGAACTTAAATTTGTTCAAGTATACAAGAATTGTTATATACCCATGGGACACGAAGATCCGATCTTATAAATGCTGTAGTTTCCTGGAATCCATTCTTCCTTATCAAGTGCAGTGTCATTTCGGAATTTCACGCAAAAATATAAAAACGTCCAATTTTCTATACGATGTGGCGGTTTGAAATAGTCATCGTTTACATACGAGGAATAAGGCTCCCAATTCCTATCTAAATCTGTAGGAACAATTTCTGAATTTTCACTAAATTCTACCATCTTGACCTTTAAAATGCTTTTCGACCATCCTCGAGACTGTGATTCTGGACAGCCATATTTACACATTGGTATTGCGTATGGCCCTGGTGGCCACACGCTCTCTTTCTCTTGTCTTTCTGTAAACAAAATAAAAGAATGTATATACATATTGAAATTTGAAGAACTTTTCAAAATGAATTTATCAATAAAGCAAATCTCTGGTTGCTTCTAGTCACAGTCAACTGAATCAGAGAAAAGGTCAAATATATATGTAGCATTTTTTCTACCTATGATTGTCTTTCAACATTTTAAAATGGGAATTACATAACCAATATATTTTTTTAAAACTTCAACACATTAAACAAAGTAATGTTTTATGTGAAATGTAAATTAACTCAATTATTTAAAGTTATTCAAAGGAAGCAATGTTGTCTTCAGTAGAATTAGTTGAAAAATTAACTAGTGTGCGTAACTTTTTATTTGTATCTTTTATAAAGAGATCAATGAATCAATCAATAAATCAATCAATCAATTTGATCATTTTGTGTTGACGATAGTTTAATGTTGCCATAATTATGAATTGAGGGCAAATTTTCTCGAAACTTTTTCTTTTGTTCTTATTTTTTAAAGCTTTTATTATACGATGCCGAAAGAAAACGCACTTTTTTCAATGTAAATAAAAAATAAGACGTGTTACAAATAAATTTACATTCACCGCTTTTTTCTTTAAGTGATAAGCAGCTGCATGCATTTAAGTTGTCATTTTAACTTTATTAAACGTGTGTTTGCTCTGAAAAAAATCGCTCGCTTTTGAGACATAATTTAATACAGACCAGGAATTTTGAGTGGAACCATAGCGTGACATAGTATAGTATTTTAAGTGGTGAATCGAGTGCAGAAAATATTACCTGTTTTTCTCACTAAAAGTGTTCTTTGAAAGACACTTAAAAGTATTTATTCGTTTATAATAATCATGTAAATTTATCCGCTTGATGATAATCATGTAAATTCCGTCAGTAATTTTAGTACTTCGATTTCATATGTGACGTCAAAGCGCGCACTGACTAGCCTATGTCTCGCGTGAATTATTGTCTACGACAAAGACTGCGACGTTGCAGAAAAACAACGTCAAAACGGTCGTACGACGTTGTCACAGACGTACGACACCGACAATAAAATGTCGTAGACTACGACGCGTTGATATAACGATCCCTGCATTTTCCGGGCTCTGACAATTTAACAAAACTAGTCTAATTTATACTGTCAAATTTCGAGATATTTATAAGAAATAGCTGTACAATATTTTATGACTGAGATTGCAACATGATATACATACTACGAGCAGGAATTTTTCAAATTTTCAAATTGTCAAATTGTCTTTGAATTTGCATAGAGGACTAAAGCAGATCAACGGTATACCAATATCCGATGAAAAGGATCACATGATCCTGGAGGAGAAAGGGTTCAGTTTATTTATTTGTCGATTTTGATGTTATTGTCGGTTTTGTAATAAGGGTTTTTGTGCGTAAATGAGTACTAGCAATGTGCATAATTCCCATCGGATAATTTGAAGGGTATTGAAGAAAGAATATTAAATACAACCTATTGAAAATGCTGTGACATAGAAAAGAATTAAATGTACGTGAAAATTCATCATAAAAAAACGCCAAACTAGTTTTATAATAAAAGTTTGTACCTTTCATTCTGACTTAATTTTCGTGACGTTAATAAATGGAAACATTTCAGCTGCTATACAATTATATTGTCGACGTGTTGATTTACCCTATACATTGTATAAACTGATAACACATTTGTCTGTTAAGCTGTTCAGATAGCATTTATTGAAAGCAAGTATTTCCATCAAACCAAGCCTGTAACATTTTCAATTTTGCCGTTTGGACGTTCTTTTGGGGATTGTTTTCCGCTCTATTTAATCTCTAAGGAGATGTTCATAGAGAATATGTGAAGCTAGATAGCCTGTTTATTAGTGTTCGATAGGTTTGTATGATACGGGAGAGGCATCATAACAGGAAACGATATGTCATTTTTTGTGATCTTATAACTTTAATGAAATGCCAGAGTTGATATTACTTCTGATATCAGTCATCTTTCGCTAGAAAATGTTAATAGATAATGTATGAAGGTCCTAAAATAGCAGAAAGGACACACATGCTATTTTTTGACGATTTCACAATTCTTTGTCCTTCGACAGAAAATATAATCTACATAATCGGTTCTGTTTATTAATAATAAGATTTATTAAGTTGTAAACTTTTAAATGTTTTATTAGCCTCCATATATTTCAAAGTCATTTCACATGACTGACAGATGTAACAAGGGATTTCTAATGTAGGGTGTCATTTTATAATTTGCTCATAACCCGTTAAAGTTAAATATGTTACTGAAAAGTCAAAATTATCATTTCAAAAATATTCTGAAAAAAACAACTACAACGACTTTTTTTATAGAATTTAGAATAAATAATGTAATTCAAAAATATATATAAAAATGAAAACCATTTGATTTTTTGTCTGAGTCAAATACGGTTGTTACATCGGTCACAATAAAAGAAGCTTGATCGATGAATATATGATGTATTATATAGCTGAAAAAATAACAGAAGAGTAGCAACTTTATATCTAGAAACCTTCAAACTGTATAACATGCCAAAACAAAACACCAGAGAATACCCTGTCAATAATGTATTATGATAAATTGAAAATGGATATTTTAAAATATTTTTCTGTGTTACGTATGGTACCATATATTTACTGAATTCTCTAAATACTATTACTCACAAGAAGGATGATTAAAACAATTATCATCGACATAAAACGTATAATATTTCCCTCAGTACACGTATAATATTTCCCTCAGTACATATGGCAAATGACATTAAAAATGCACCTAACTCTCGTCAATATTAATGAAATAGAGGATATTGAATGAGTGTTAGTTCAATACTGAATTTATTGCACGAGTTGAATAAATATATTACGCGAGCCTCTGGTGAGCATAATATTATTTTATTCAACGGGTGCAATGAATTCAGTAATGAACTTACACGAATTTAATATTCTTTTTATCACACACCCAAAATAAAGACATTTTAAAGTGAAAAAATAGTCATTTTTCACTGACGCGCCTATAGTATAATGCTATCATTTAACGCGTCGTTACACTATGTTTGTATAACGCTAATGACGTCACGCTAAGACATTAAACGAAAGTCTTAACTGTAAAAGTGTTCGAAAATCAGAAACAAGACAAATGCATGCGGGGATAACGTTTTCATTTTAGTGATTTTACTTACCGTAACTCATATTAAGCTTTTCACAATTCACTCGATTCGCACCATTTTCAGAACATTTTGAGTATGGAAACTCAGTTGGATTATATACAACCTTAGGTTGAAGAGACACTGAAATATATAAAATGTAGAATAAGCATTAGACATGTTTACTGATGATAAAACTGTGGGTATATAATTCTTGAGAAATGGGAGTATCCTCGACATCAACTAAAACATGAACACTATGACTGATATACTTTTACCGAACATTTTATTAGTTCGTGCGTTTTAACTTTAATGAAAACAAAATTAGTTCACATACAAAATAGTTGTTGGAATTTATCATATAAATCCTTGCATATCTCTCGATTAAGATATCGCAAATTCTTCTTAGCATTGGTCTTTTCCCAGCGCTTTGAACAGTAACAACATTGGGAAAATTACTTCTTTCGAGATAAGTAGGCATGGAAAGAAAAGATCAGTACAGTATTTGCTATGCGTTTTTTTATAATATTGAATTGAACAAAAACTGCACTTTTCATTCTGACTAAAGAAATTGTGTATATAACGCTCAATATATTCTGACATTAGAAATGTTTTGTAAGAAGGTGTAATATACTTGTTTAAAATCTACTTAATCTACCGTATAAAAATTGTCCTTTGATCACTGTTTTACCGTGAATCTGTTGTTAACTAAACAATATGTCTTAATATTTGTCTGTAAAGTGCAAAATTTGTGGATTTTGTCAGAGCATAATGTTAGATTTTGTGTATGATATGCATGATATTATGAGTATCCAGTTATTGTTTTCATTATCAAACTTAATCACAATTTGAAAAAAAAAACATCAATTTCATTTTATAGTGTATGTTATGCTTTAAAATTTACGCGGCATCATAAATTCGCTAAGCAGACGATTCGCGAATAATAGCGAAAACTAAAACATCGCGAAAAATACCGGATTTACAGTTTACAAAAATGCTTTAATACTAAATATCCACTTGTCAAAATCAACACAAAGGAATGAATGAAAACGGGTCATAGGAAAGCAATATGTTAAAGATTGTTATTTATAAACCATCCGCAAATATAAAGGGGTTAAACATAACACCTGTTGTTTTTTTTGTTTTTTTTTTTTTTTTTTGGGGGGGGGGGGGTGAGTACGTCATGTTTTAATCAATGAAATAAGCTAACAAATGAAAAGGTTATGGTAGCAGAGTGTGAAACAAAACCTTTATAGAAAATTGAATAAAGTTGTCTTGTCACTTGAGATATTAGTCCACACAAGATATATTTTCACGATCACCGTCCTTTCAGAAATTTCCAGCAACGGGAGAGGCAAGTTAAATTTTCTGTTGCATAAAAAACAATCAGGTTAAAGTAATAGCTATAGTGCATTTAAGTTGCATTTTTTTGGTTTTGGTTGAATTAAATTTATCTAGAGTACAAATCGTGCACTAAACGGTTTGTAAGAAAATTTGTTAAGCAAAATGGCACTGCACGTAGGTCTCCATGTGGTTTGTCTGGTCAATGATAAAATCGATCGAGATATCTACATTAATTACATAAGAGAATGCATAAAAATAGGGAAGACATTTTCAATAAGTATATACAACACCTGGATTGATGCGAAAAGCTGAAAATTTCAGTTTTTTATCAATTACAAATCGAAGCAAGGGACAAAATTCTTGTCAGCTTTGTTGGGATTTAATACATGACTGAATTTGCAGTGATACAATGAATGAAAACAATCGCTGTTTAAGTTAAGATTAGTTTTGTAACACCTAAGCATTTTAAGAGTGAAGAAACTCTTATTTCATTTATTCAATATTTTTATTGTTTAACCTTAAATTTGAGAGTGTTTCATGTGGATTGGGAAAATAATTTACAATTTTTAATTGGGAATTCGGCCCAATATCGACTATAAAACAATTCAAATAAACAAAATCCCTTTAAGGGATTACGTTTCACAATAGTAAACGGTGAAGGTAGGAAGTGTGAAGTAGTGAAGGTAACTTACATTAAATGTAAATTGAAGTTTACAAGTAGTTTAAATATCTATTACAGTTAAAATAAAATCCAATGTATGGTAACTTGATATTTTACGATTTCATTTTCAAGAGAAGATCAGACGCTCCACAAGGCACCCATACCACCACCAGCTGACATGAGGGAACAGTGGTTGGACCAAAACTTCCAACTGGCAAACAAACAAGGTAATGTACAACGTATTCTAAGTGTCAAATCAATGTTAGGGGAGTTTGTTCCCCAAAATAACAAAGAAAATATAAAACAGAGGCAATATTTAGACATTAGTGTCTATTTGTCAGAAAAGCGCCATTCCACAAGCCGAAAATTGACGAAACTTGTTATAAACGGAGCTTGTCAATTGGCCACATCAAATACCAAGAAAATAAAAATGGTCTGATTCATTTTTAGTATTTGCAAGCAAACATCTAAGCGCTAACCCCACAGAAACACGGGCAATTCTGAAGTATGGGTCAATTATTAGGACAGCAGCTAAGCGTCATTTAGGTTCAGTGTGGCAGAGTTATGACTTTCAATTCGGTCTAAGCTAGGGTCAAACTCGAACATGTCAGTTGGGGTTATAGATGAAGAACTATGGATATTGTGTATGTGTCCAAGTACAAAAGCTATATTTACGGGGGACAAAAAATGCTATGATTTCAATTGCAGCTTTTTGCACAAGATTTGTTTGCACTTATTGTCATGTCTGTTTAAATTGTAGTGGAAATCACACAGTTAGACCATGCAGGAGGCAGACAAACCAAAACATGGGGATACAGATACCAATGCAAAAAAAAATGCGACATTTATGCCACAACAGCATGTGCAACGCTGGCCAAGGAGGCAATCATTTAGGCCCGCGTCACCTCTTAAACACAAAGATATCAAATGCAATTGTGATGCTAAAACTTTAACATGTTTACATCTAGGTACCTCACCAGTAAAAATCCAAATACTAGAAAAATACTTGCAGCATTATGAGAATTGTATAGATGCCAATATTGTAGCTTATGGATTTAAGAATGGTTTCAAAATTGAATACAATAGACAAAGAAATGCATTTAAAAGTCAAAATCTTTAATCTGCTTATGAACATAAAGCACAACTGCAGGAAAAAGTAAATAGTGGGTAGGATTGCTGGGCAATTTGATAAACCTCCATTTGATAATCTAAGTATCTCTCCAGTAGTAATTTTGCCGAAGTCTGATGGGGATTGAAAATGATCATTCTAAGGTTTAGAAACTGATACGTCCAAATTAATGGTCCGAATCCCAAATCATAAATTTCAAGAACTGTCCAAATTAATATCAACTATAGTTAAAAGAAAGAAAATATCGTGACGGGAATTACACAGATTAGTGGGAAAATTGTTCTTTTAGTTTTCAGTTAGGCCCATGCGAGCATTTTTTTCGACGGTTCTATGATGCAATGATTCCTTTAAGGAAACCTTACTATAAGCTTAGAATGTCACGAGAAATAAAAGAGGATCTAAAGGTTTGGCAGGCATTTTTAGAGAATTTAATGGGGTAACATACATACCAGAAAACAAATGGTTTAGAAGTGATGAACTGCAGCTATTTACAGATGATGCAGGGTCAGACTTGCTAGGGGCAGCTTGTTTTTTGGAGGGGGAATGGTGTTTCCTTGCATGGCCAAGGTTATGGAAAGGTCATTCAGTTATGAGAGATATTATATTTCTGGAAATGATACCAGTAGTATAAGCCATTCATATCAGGGAAACAAGTTATAATGGATATTGACAATGAGGCTTTGGTAAGAGTTCTCAATTGTCAAACCTCCAGGTCAAAAAGGTTAATGCAACTCGTCAGGTACTTTGTGTTTAGTGTCTTGAAGAAATTTGAAGAAAGTACTTTCTTCAAAGCACTTAACATTTTTTCGAAACACAACAATATAGGTGATGCTATTTTTCGACTATAATGGGGCCGTTACCGTCAAGTTGCACCTAGGGCTACCAAGGAATCAGTAGAAATACAACGTCAATTCCACTTAATGATCACCAGATTGAGGCTAGAAGATTGTCAAAGGAATCTTTAGCGCCAATACAATTAAAGCATACAAAACAGGGCTGAATATTTTTCACAAATTTAGAAGTTTCCAATGTAAAATGTAGGGTATGGCAGATAACACAACATAAGGTGTTAGAAGGATTGCTAAGAACAGCAAAAGCAAAAAGAGTGCGCCTCCCAGTAACAAATAAAAACTCCTATATAGCAGTCTGACTACACTTTCAGCAGTTTGTCACAATCAGTATGAGGCCATTTTGTTCTCTTTGGCATATACTCTTGCATTCTTTTGGGTTCTTTAGGGTAGGAGAGATAACAGTAACAAAAAGGGGATAAACAGATCAGTAGGATTCTTAGCATTCAATATGTCCAATAAGTTGATAATGGAAATACAAAAATATGTTCATTAAGATACTCTAAAATCGACCAGCTTGGTATTGGGACGGATATTAACGTTTCAAAGTATAGTCGTATTCCATTTGTCAAGTTACTGCTTTGGCTAGATATAAAGCTGTAAGACCAAAGTTTGTATGGCCTGTGATGTCGCATATAGACGGTACCCCCAATGACTCGTTTCCGTTTTTCGTTAGTTTTGGAAAAGGCACTTTGTTAACTTGACCCACAGTTGGTTCATTATAAGTGTCACAGTCTCCGACAAGGCGCAGCGTCGGCTGCTAGTAAATCAGGTTGGTCAGTTGAACAAATGAAAAGGGCAGGGAGGTGGTTTTCATGTGCATATAAATCTTGTGTCACATTTAAGGTTCCATGATAACCGTCATATGAACACATCTGCGGATGTTTCAAAATTCAAAATTGTACCAATTCATGTTAAATGCTGAATTCTGCTTAAGCCGGTGCTAGGGGGCGTGGACGGTAGTTTGCACTTGACAGTACCGTCCATGAACAGGCTCAATCAAACCGAGTCTGCAACATTTTCAAGTTTGCCGTGTTGGGCTTTCTTTAGGGATTCTTATTTTCTCTATTTTATATACAACTAGTGTACGTTAGGGGTCGTCTATTAGAATGGTGCTAAATGAATAATAACTCAGTTTCAATATCGAATCAAATGTTTCACAATTAAAATAATTTGATTTTCTTTTTTGGCCAGGTAGGCCAAACGGTGTTAACAATAAAATTTTAAGTAACTGTATATTTCTTATTGAAAGAATAAACACATTATGTTCTTAAGATATTTTGCGACAGTTCTTTTGACCGTGACGCATCTTTTAGTATTGTTTCAATTTCTTATATGATATCAATGCTACAAGTAGCTGTTATTATAAATGTCAGTTTATTTATTGGTTAAGTACAGACAGACGACTATAACATGAAGGGCTTAAGTTAAGCAGTCCTTAGGTTTTACAGGCATACCATGCGTGTGGGTGTAAGGATCATCAATTATTTAATTGGCTTTCCTGTGGGCAAGAAGAAGACCGGAGGGAAGTAGCTTAATGCTTCCAGCCCAGCTATGGTGGCAATGATAATGTGTCTGACCCTACGAAGGACTGAGGAGAGACTTACGCTTCTGTTAAAGGTGGAACAGAAACCTCAGTTCCCATTACTCCATATATGGTGTAATGATATAATGCACACCCCAATTAAGGATTTGATAACGGTGGTTAATAGTTAATTGTACTTTATTGGTGATAATATGTCAGAAACAGAGATTGTATGGTCTGAAATATCATCTCGGGAATGGGAGCAGGAACAAAAAGTATTACGTGCAGCAATCAAATGGCTCAATGCCTATTTAGTGAATAAAGTTAAAGAATTGGGCGGTTTTATCTAAATTTAACCGAATTTAATCAAGACAATCATACCAGGATGAACTAAATTTGTCAGATCAAGGAAATTACCATTTCAACTTTGGGTTACAGTTTCTCCTTAATGGTCAAAAACCATGGTTTACAATGTAAATTAACGCTAAAAATAATATGAGGGTTTTGTGAGATTGTTAAGTTTGCGGATATTTTGGCATGCAACTATGTACTAGGCCCGTTTTTAACATGCTTCTGATAAATAAATTGTATGTTTTATTTATCAAAATAATTACAACAATGGCTTAATAGCACAATTAGTATTTAAAAGTCAGCAAAATTAAATATGTTGATGTTAGATACAACTTTGAGATATATATACGAGGGGTTATCCAAAAATTCGTGGACTTTTTAAATATCTCTTGAACGTCAACGTGTATTGTAATGAAAATTTATCAGCATACATTGTAGAATATTATCAACACATTTTGAAAGGAACAGTTAATTGTGTCAATAAATAATGATTTTATATTGCTTTTAAATAAGCACATACACGGCACCCGGCGCACGGTAGAAAAGCGCAGTAAGTCATCGTATATTTCTTGCTAAAAAACTAAAAAAATAACGTAGAAAACCCGCTGAACATCGCATGTTTCATCTATGATGTCATTTAAGTAATTCTTTAAAATTATGGACGTCATTTACCTTTATTTTTGTTGATATCGCTAGAAACGCCAGACGCCTTTATTGTTTACAACGGGAAAATGACGGACACGCGATAATTAGAAAATCGCATGATCATAAACAATCATAAATTTTTATTGCAATTTTGAAATGACACCTACAGAAACATTTGATAAAAATCAGCAGACGAACAGAGAAAAGAATATTTCACGATCATTAGTGTTAAAGTGGCATAAAAAAGTTAGTAATGGACATTACTTTGAGAAGCAGTAACAGTCATTGACTGCGTAACGTTGAAGCACAAATTGTACGTTAATATTATGACGTTGACGTCAATAATTTTTTGGAGTGCGCCGCTGTCGCCGACATGTGTTTATGTAAAATTAAATATTGTTGTAATGTAAGAAGCTATTCACATGAATTGTTCTGTGTTTATTTGTTATTAATTCTTCTAAGCAGTGTAAGAATTTCAAATTAATATCTCAAATAAATTTTACGCAACAAAGAAAGTCCACGAATTTTTGGATAACCCCTCGTATATATGTGTGTGTGGGTATGTATGTGTATGTACATGTATATATAGACTAAGTAGTATTTTGCTACACAATATTTTGCTAGATGCAGTGTTCAATTTGCTTTTGTATTTGCAAAGTTTCCTCATACATTTTTTTTACAATATAATATATTAAATTGGCGGTAGATACAGTGTCAAATTAGTTATAAATAAGGGGGAACCAAGTTCCCCTGTCTCCGTTTTTTTTTGCTTGATTTGGCTGGCTAAAATAGGCGCAATTTGCTAGTTTGCGGCGCCTAGTGCCATTTAATTTTAACTACAATAAGGATATTTCATTCGAAAGTCAGTTGGTTTAGTGATAGTCGATAGTTGCTGGAGTTGTTATAGCATTTGATTAGCAGATATAATGTTCATGCCAAGTTTCCACCAGACCGAGGATAATGGGTAAAACGAAAATACATAATCAGAATCTATTGAAGTGTATGATTATTGCAAATACATGTTATAAATAGTTTGTGCGTTGTCTCTTAAAATAGCTCAATGAAACATTATGGTAAACAATAAGAAGTTTGAAAAAAGAATGCAGGTAATCTCCATGTAAGACAGGTGTCAGTCAAGGAAGAATGTGGACATAAAATATAAATCAAATCAAGTATAGTTGCGGAAATGTTAGTTAAGGGAAACGGGTTCCGCGTCCGTCCTTTTATGTCATTTGCCTACCAAAAAAAGTTACAAATTATAACATGCTTAACCTAAACTATCCTATCTAATAAACATAATAAACGACTTACCTTTATTCAAATAGCTGACAAAAGTAAAAATTAAAAACCAGTTCAAAGCCATGATGGCTTGATATAAATCTTAAATTTTACACTCAATCCGGCATCTTACGTTAAACAGAAGTATTCATCAAAAGTCGAATGAATCTGCGAAGTAATTTGTTGCGCAGCGCCATCTAATCCAAGTGAGAGTTTAATATGACCCGTAATAACAAAATGTAAATGTCATTTCTTTTGGAATTAGGCATTTCCTAGCAATTTTATATTCATTAATATAAACTAAATGATCTTCCCATATTGAATAATCAAATATATGTAAATGAAAACAATTGGGTGCGTTTTATAATGTCATTTCTTGATGATATTTCAATTTCCTGTCTACAACAAGGGATGGCACGTTTATGTGTTTAAATGAGTGCGGTCGTTTCTCGCAATTTGCAATTAATTTTATTATCAAATAAATGTTATTTATATATTGATGATATTTTATTTTCCTAAATATGCAGCTGTGTATCTATGTAACAATTTGGTAATGGTGGTGCAAAAATATAAACCAGATTAATTAGAGTCATGATAACACTGTTTGTTTTGTTTCATTGCGTCGCCACATATAACAATACTAATCTCTCAAATATATAATTCAATTTCCATTTATAATATTCACTAAATGAGATCATAACTGACTGATTTAAAAAAAGCAAGCATATTTTTTTCTGTTTTTTTTTCCTTTTCACATAAATTTAGGTTGTTTTTTATTCTCATAACATAAGATAATAACCACAGTGAATAACGTATGATATGATTCTGTGTGTGCGTGCGTGTGTGTGTTCGTGCGTGCGTGCGTGTATGTGACATAATTTTGAATAGCTTCATTGTTTAATTCAGGAAGTATTCTTGACCAAATTTCTAATCAAGCACCCCTTAAAATGAACTATTCCGAAAAATTTGAAAACATATTTTCTTTCAAAATGATAAACATGTTATTTCTACTCAAACCAACATATCAAAACAAGGTTATGTCATTAAAATTAGGCATGGTGTAACAAAAGTACAACAGATACATTTCAATCACGTGCATCACCAGAAAATGATGTGTGTATTAGATTCACAGTATAAATTTTATCCGTTTGACGATATAATAAGAGATAACATCAAAAATTCCAACGTTTATACCAAATATATTTACATAGGAACGTTGGTGAGTCTTTGCGCGTGATTTTCAAAAATTCTATTCGCGTGTTGCAATATTCTATTATTCATTTTTTTCTTCTATAACCTTGATATCACAGCAAGTAATTGTGTTTCACGCTGATAAAGTCATACAAATATGTCTTCCGCGACTGTAATCTGTTTTCGCACCAGTAAAAGTAATTAGAATTTGATATATATTGGAAAAAGATAAATAAATATTATGTTTGTTTACAGTTTAAAAATTTTAAAAATGAAAAAATATAAAGACATTTTACGGTTTGTTACATAAATCTAAAGGTCTCCGTCAAGCGTCGGTACGAAGATTTATATCATCAAGTTGAGAGATGACCTTTGATAGTTATTTTATTTTCCAGATTTTCGATTTCACATCAATCCCAATCATTTTTTTCCCTTTTAAAAAGCAATGACCTCGCAAGGTATTTGTCAATATGTGCAATATACATGCATGTAAAATGATTTATTTTTTTTTAAGTCTGTGGCGTTTTAAAAGTGGATGCTCATATTTTATCATGTATTATAATCAAATTTCAACTCTTTATTATCAAAGAAACCCTCGTATACTAATCACTAAAACAGTTGAAGGAAACGGGATTTGTTCTAAAATGTATAAAGATAAATGATTCTTTATTAGCTAAAGTTAACATAATCAGTTGCTGGTGGTGTTATCTGCTGACTTGTAGTTAGCTCACTGTATAATCTCTCATCACGTCATTTCAAATCTTCGTAGGTCACATGAGCGTCGCTGTCATGTGTCTCTTCTGTTTGAAATATAGAGAATCCCGAATCTTCATCTTTTAAGAAACAAAATTAAATGTTTTAATACAGCATTAAAATCAATTTATGCAAACTTCCCGTCAATTTCCCGCTACCATTCTCATCATTTCCTGTTTGTGATTTCGTATGTGCAGTTTTTGAGTTGTTTGCGCAAGCTGAGAACGAGTATCCTGATAGCCATTTAATTGTACTGTGTTAATTTTATGTTTTCATATGTATCTGAAGGAGTATCGCCAATTTGTTCGCAAAGTTTAACGATCGCACACATTTTCAGTTGTTTAACGAACGTCAAATTTCTACATTTAACGTTATGACCACTGCTGTTCAAAACTTGATGATTTAGCCATTTCATGTCTGAATGACATCAAATTTGGGAATAATGTCACTTGAATATAATAAATTGTGTTGGGGGAATAAATGGGGAAAAAAGAAAATAAATTACATTTATGAATAAAATAGAAGTTCAACTAAACTTAATAGCCTTTTTATGTGCTGAGCCGGGTGCGTGTTACCATGGTTATTTTATAACACAGGGAACACGCGTTAATTATAAGAATTCAATATTTTTATGTTTAAATTGAAAAAACATTTTTCCATCGCTGTACATATAAAAATATTCTAAATTGAATTGAATATGAAGATGCAAGACTCTAAGTCCTATTACTTTTTGAACAACCCTCTTACATTTGACACATATATTGTAGCTGTTCACTGTTACAAGTAAAGGTCAAGTTATATGCGTAACTGCAAAGGAATTACAATTTTTTCTTAACTAAAACAAGCTTTGTAGTTTATATATTTTCGTGAATAGGGAACTTTTTCCGGATATTTATTTTACAGTTATTAGTATTTCCTATGTACCCTTTTACTTCAAATTCAAATATTGAATTCTTGACAACTGGAAATAAACAGTTATAATTGTTTAAACAGTCATGTAAATTTCTTATCCTTCTTTTACTAATTAATTCTATACATACATACATGTATGGATACATTGATTAAAAATGTTATGGTACACAATTTTAACAAGAGATTTTGAATATTTATATGGCCGGGCTATTCGAATTCAACACAGTTATATAAAAAGATAGTCTTGGAATCATCGATGCGTCGCATGTATTTCTTAAAATACTGGACATATTTGAAGAATCGTGAATTTTGTATGATTTATATGGATAAGAACAATAAATATATTGTTCAAAGTTTTTTTCAGTTTTCTTCAAAACACAACTTTGTGCTGTATAATTCTTCCTTACAAAGATTTAGGACAAATTGTCTAAAACAACTGTTTGCAATATAACCGACTTCTTGTGACTATTTTGCTAGTTTATAAAGGCTGCACATTAAACTTAAAGATGAAGAATTAATAAGATCAATAAATGAAATTTTACATTTGTATTGGGAAGAATACAATGACATAACGTAAATACAACAAGAATATTGATATTGATATATTCAATATATACCTGAACATTTTAAATATCAAAATCGATTCTATAAAATATGCTGAAGACCTTCTGTAAAATGTTGTCTACATAAAGAAATTAATATCGATACAAGTCTGTGCAGGATGTACATGTTTATTTTTTAAGCTTGTGAGTTAAATCAGAACTGCTGATTTGGAAGTCAAGGCGGCTTTTATGGCGAAAAATGTACATATGATTGTTTGGAAAATTGCAAAACCTACACGAATAGTTATCTAAGGAATGCGGTACGCGTGGGTTCCGAACCCGTCTGTAGCAAACTGTTGCTTCCGTGAGCAAGAAACTTTACTTATTGCTTTGTAGTGTTTGGTTAATAATTAGAGGTTAATACATAGTTGCTGCTCGCCATTATGCGATAATGGCCCGAAGATGTGCATAATGGCCGCAGGCCCGAAGGACATTATGAACTCGAGGGTCATTGTCGCATAATTGCGAGCAGCAAACAAGTATTAACGTCTTTAATACCTATGTTCGAAATACGGCGTTTAGACATCGCCGCTAATCTTGGTTGTCACCCTTTCTAAGAAATGGACAGTTGTCAATGTAAACAAATCTGTCATACAGTACAGTTTAACACTTTAGAGAACAAGACAACACAAAATAAATATAAGAAATGTTGTTTTATTGTTGTTTTTATCAATGAATACGCTTCATATTTTTTGAGAATTGCATTTAGATATAGTGCCAGTTTTTTATGAAGTTTTGTGCCTTCAAGAACGGTTTCTGATGTCTAGGTCTAGTAAATGCGACGGTCTTGTATTTATTAATCTTTAATGTTAAGCTTTGCTGATTGTGATCGATAAATTGATTAAAATAAAATTGGGAAGTGACTTTTGTTTATTCAACGTCAGCAGCTATCTTGAAAGTCACTGAGAGTTGATTACGTCATTCTGCACGTGCACTCATTCACTCGCCCATTATGGAAAAATAATGCCGAGTAGCAAGGCGGCCAAAATTGCATAATGATCTAGATGTTGCCATTATGGCCCTGAAATACCCTAGATTGTGTTACTATATATAGTAACATAGGTATTAATATATAATAATAATCACATATATCAACACTGAAGTCAAACTAACTTGACATCTGCTGTAATGAATCTGGAAAAGAGTGATACCTCGGAAGCATTTATCACCACAAAATTACATACAAATTGCATACTCAGTTTGATTGAGTCTTAAAAATGAGAGATAATGAAAAGAATGCAGCATTTCTAATACCTCCTAGCATCGGCTTCAGCGGTTCAAGCGGTACTCAATTTTCAAGACTTAAATTGATGGAATCAATGATTACGAAGGACCAAGCAAATAACACAACACTGAAGTGAAGACCGGGTCTACAACTGCTGTGTTGAAAAATTAGAATCTGGTAAAGAGTGTTCCCTCGGAAGTATTAACCATAACAAAATAACATGAAAATTGCAGTCTCAGTGCGAGTATAAGAATCAGGAATAAGGAAGATCCTTACACAATCGGACCTTATCCTTCTTACCCTTACATCTTTGATTATAGTATCAACCTTTAAAGTAACATTATGCCCATTCAATTATAGAGGTAAAGTAGCATTAACAACTGATTTCTATATATTAGTTTCCACATATAACATTAATATTAAATGTTAACATATTAAAATTAACATATTGTAAACGTTTCTTCACATCAATTACCTATTTGGCTCATGAAAATTCTATAAATATCTTTCGGAAATTATAAGTAGAATTTAAGTGACAATTTAATATGTGTGGGACTTTTTGTAGTTTTTTGTAGTTTGTCAAAAACATTTTACAATATCAAATATTGGTAATTATCATTAATTAAAGTCAATCTTTTGAAATATATACGTGATAAACAAGCACAATTTGACAATGAAAAAAATATCAGTTTGAATAAATAATTATGGTTTATGTTTGAAAACTCTCTCTTGAACACAATGAATTTAAGTTTAATTTGAAATTGATACTTTAACGGAAGACTGAAGAATGTAAAGAATAAGGTCAAGTTTTATGAATGAATGCAAAAAGAAGTGAAGTTTTAATTTATAAAAAAAAAAACACACGCTTCGTGGTTTAAAATCGTCGGGTTTTTCTCAAATTATTTGCCCGTTCATCTTTTTATCAAGCTAAATGTATTGATACCTAGTATTCATCATTTTAACGGATTTGTCTGGACATTTATGTGCACTTCCAAGGTAAATATTCTAAATCGCCATACCTGTTTATGTAGCCGAATTATCGCCATAACACAGGCGCTTATATATGACAAGCATTGATATATTGAGCTATTATAAATTATTCTAAAAAAGTCTGATGAATAAACATGGCATTTTCCATCACGCAATACGTGTCAATAGGTATACTTTTATTTACAATATTCGAAATGTATTTGTATTAAGGATGTCTTTCATCCACATTGTGCGCATCATTTGTGAAATAATAATGATTCTAGTATTTCAAAATCACCTGTTGCTTACTGTTTATGTATTCTTACTTTTATCATTAGCAATAATATTTAAATGCAAATTTCGATTTTGTCTATCTGAAATTCATATTAATACTCTAAAATTTAGATTATATTGTAACTATATAGATAAAAAACTTTTTGAACACAAAATCATTCTGCAAAATACTTTATCCCTACCGCAGGTATTACATGCTGTAAAGTTTTAATTTTGTTTTATCTTATTTAAAGTCCATAGCTTATACAGTAATAACAAAGTCACTACCTTTTGTATAAAGTTAAAAGGAATTATAAATTTAACTTTAAAACAGGCATTTTTTTCTTTTTTTATCTATCTATAACTGTGAATTTAAACGAGCATATTTTAAAGCTATATCTATCCTTATCCTTATGAAGTTGAAAGTAATATGTATTTCAACTTTACTTTAAAAAAGTATCACATTTTTGTAAGGTTACAGCTTTACTACTATTAAAAGAAATCTATTTGAGAGATCACATTACTTAAAACGGGTGTAAACACAGTAATAGTTTTTTACCTAACTTAAAATAGTGACAATAATGAATCCCTATAGAACACACGAACGATTTATTTACAGTTGATATCCGTTGAACCATCATGGCGAGGCAAGTCCTGGTGTTCCTGTTTACAGTATTTAACATTGGTAAGATAATTGAACTATGTAAAAACAAATACTCTTACTACATGTTAGATAACAGTGCTACCAAGATACATTCAATATAAACAAAATCTAAGAATGTTAAGGATTTGAATTAATATAATATAAAGGATATACAACTATCATAACTTTTGAATATTTTTTTTATAAAATCTTTAAACATTTCAATCATTTTTAACAATTTTAAAGTCTTTTCTTAAAAAAGTTGTAACATAGAATGTTCCTGTTATTTAAAATTCATACATATTGTATGCCCAATGATTATCAAGTAGTAAATACTATTAATGCTGACGTTATAGATTAACAGTTCAGCAATGTTTCCGTGCACTCAGTAAGTGAACAAACGTAATTTTATTCAGGAGGTTCTTTTGAACGTTTTCTTTTTTCCAAAATATTATTTGTGGATATATAAACAGATTATTTATATAAATAAACTATAATAATTCAACCAATTGAATGTTATAAGTTATATATTTATGGAAATAAAAAAAACCGTTGTCAAGGAAAATAAAAGTTTCATATTTTGTATGTTACAACTCAACCAGAAAAATAATTTTGTAGGATTATCGGTGCAGGCGTGCTCAGAGTGCGAATGCTGTAAAAATGGGCAGCTGTCTTGTGATTCAAATAAAATTTGTATAAGTGGATGTAAAGCTGGTTATTATGGCGAGAAATGCACAGAAAAGTGTCTTGAAAATTGTAGAAACTGTGTTAATGGTAATGAATGTACGGAGTGTCAACCTGGTTATTATACAAATAAATGTAATTTACTGTGTGGGAAAGGTTGTGTTAACAATACATGCTTAGTTTCATCAGGAGAATGTTATTGTAAATCGGCTAATTTTGTCAAAGGTAGATGTGATGTTTGTTTGGGAAATAAGTATGGTGATGAATGTAATAAAACATGTCCTAGTAACTGTGGCTCTTGTATAACAGAAACAGAATGTTCATGGTGTCAACACACGTTTACTACGGATCATTTTGTCAGTATAGATGTTCTGTTGGTTGTGTCAATGGCAGATGTAATAAAGGAAATGGACACTGTACTGGAGGATGCAAATCTAATTTTGTCGGAGATAAATGTGACATGTGCTCGTCTGGATTATACGGACCCTTTTGTGATTTGAATTGCAAAGAAAATTGTTCGGCATGTTTTTCGGAAACAAATTGTACAACATGTAAATCAGGCTTTTTTGGAGAAACATGTACAAATACCTGTCCGATTGGTTGTAAAGGAAATTGTTATTTTGCTGATGGACGCTGTCTTGAGTGTAAACCAGGTTTTTTCGGAGACTTTTGCAACATTGCATGCAACGATGAGAAGTACGGTGTTGATTGTTCTAAATTATGTCGTGATAAAGATGTGAATTGCCAAATGTGTATCGTAAATCAATTTGGTGACTATGTTTGTTGCACAAAAAATGTATCAGCAATGATAACGGACCGAGAAGGCTTTAGCGTGGGGACACTGATAGGCTCTATAATTGGATCATTTCTCGCTGGTGGTATTGTTACAGTGACAACTTTGTTTTCCTTCATTACATTAAGGCGAAGGTTTGTAACATACTTGATTTTTTTCGTCATATTTGTATTTAATTTTGAAGATGCCTGTTATTGTTATGCTATTATGATTTATTCATCTTCATAATAACTTAACAAGATAATAACTAAAACAAGATATAGTGTATGCTCTTTGCTTCCATTAATTCTAAATATTACCATTTTAATTATGTTTTACTATATATTTGTAGGTTAGGAAAAAATGAAGAAACAGAAAACAATTTAGTACCTGGTAAATATAATATCAGTGGTGTATTACAAATTCATTAAAACGGTCTTGTTTATCTAAATTAAAATAAAACATGTGACATGGTTTTCCACTCATTTTAAATATGAAACTTTTGTTTATTTCCATGCAATAGCATCGTTAAAGTCATTCTTACATATAGATAATTATATGTAATTATAAATTAATTTGATGCTATACCCTAATTCGGATGCTAAGAAATAACGTAAAAACGCCATTTAAAAATAAGTTGCGTGATAAGGATGACGTCATATGTCAACGAATAAGATATTCTTTATATTCCACACAGATGTCACACATGAAGTCGCCCCTCCTGTTGCATATGAAGATTTTAATTCACGTGTCGAGATATCATACAGTCAGATTACTACAAATCAGCAGATATCACCACCAGAAGCTGTTTATGTGAACACTAGATTTTAATTAACTTTGACAAGGATGTTTGTGACAAATTAATCCTTTAGTAGTTTAAATAATTTGCTTTACTATTGAATAATGTGGATGTTTTCCGCAAGTGAATTTGAAGAGAGTGTTTCTACACCATAAATAAAGATGAACACCAAATACGATTTGTATGCTGAAAGTGATATGATACAGTTCGCATGCACGTTTTTATATTGACAATTCAACTTTGAACATTTAAAGTTGGTTGCAATTAGAAAGCAGTGTTTACACTGATCGATCAAATCTGTATTTTGATATTATTTCATTTGGTTAACATTATAAGTATATGTTTTTGTTTTACAAAAAAACAATAATTACCTAAACTTAAAAAAAATAAATATAGTATTAACATAATGACACATAAAGGAATAAACGCTAGCGGTATCTTGATTCAAACGTTAATCAACATATGTAGCCTCAGGAAATACAGTGAGGCTAACACACCCAAGAGTGATAAGCTCTTTTGTAGGGTTATTATTTCAAGTTAACACGGAGTGATAGCCTCAGAGAATAAAGCTCACACAACCAACGATGATGGGTGTGTTAGAGGATTTTTATCCTAAGTCAAACAACGGCGATAGCCTGAGGGAAATTATTTAAGTTCACGTAGCCCACAGCAATTTGCCTTTTAGAGGGTTTTTATTACAATTAAACCAACGCAGATTGACTCGGGGAATAGAGAAAAGCTCAAACAACCAACGGTGATAGCCCCATTCGATGCCTGTTATCGCAATAAACCGTACGGAATAAAGTAAATCTTACACAAAGCATGATGATAGGCCTTCCACAGGATTCTTCATACAATGAAATCAACCGTGAAAATACATTGGGAATACCGAAAACATCACACAACTAACGGTTATAGGATAGAAGAGCGTTTATATCTTAATGACACCCTAAGTGATATAATAGCTTCAGGGAATAACATAAACTCACACAACCAACAGTGTTAGGCATTTTACATACTTTTTATCGTAATAAAATCCACGATGATAACCTCAGGGAAGAGAGTCATGCTTATACAGCCCACGGTGAACGGCATTTTAGATGATTGATATTGCAATTATACCCACGGCGATAGCCTGAGATGAAAGGAAAGCCTTCATAACTCACGGCGATAGGCTTTTTAAAGTTTCCTTATCTTAATGAAACTCACAGTGATATCCTCTTGTTATGTTTGTTTGTTTTTTGGTTTGTTTGATCTGGTTTTACGTCACACCGACACAGTATATGTCATATTGCGACGTTCCAGCCGTAATGGTGGAAGAAGACCTCGGGTGTCCCTCAGTGTAAAATTTTCGGCAAAAACGGGCTCCTGAATAGAACCATCGACTTTCCGCAAGCTAGCTGGATAGCGTGATAACATCCAAATAATCCAAAGTCTCTGTCGGGCTTTTAAAAACTCATGGAATACACTAAATTCCCACACAACCCAGTTAGCCTTACACTAGGTTCTTATCGCAATGAAATCCTAGATGAGAGCATCAGGGAACGCAGTTAAACTCATTCAAACCTACAGTCATAGGCCTTAAAGAGGGTTCGAATCCAATGAAACTACGGATATTGCCTCGTGGAATACAGTAATGCTCATACAACCTACTGTGATACGCCTTCAAAAAAGTTCCAATCGCAATTAAATACACAGTGATAGCCTCTTGGTGTTAAGTAAGGCTAAAAAAACTCACGGTCATAGCCATTTCTAGGGATTATTTCGCAATAAGATCCACGGTTATAGCCTCAGGGAATACAGCAAAGTTCACACTACTCACAGCTGTTTAGAGGCTTCTTATTTTAACTTTACCTATCGTTGAAGCTTCCGGGATTACAATAAATCTCACACAACCCACGGTGTTAGACCTTTTTACAGGGTTTCTATCTCAAGTTCACCTAATGTGACAGACCCGGAGAAAACAGTAAAGCGCACAAAATCCACGATGGTGAGCCTTTTAGAGGGTTCTTAACTCAAGTTCACCTACGTTGATAGCATCAGACATTACTTTAAAGCTCACACGACCAACGATGGTAAAGATTTTATAGGGTTATTTTTTCAAGCTCATCCACGGAGCCTAATCGAATCAGTTACTAGTACTTCACACAAACCACGATGATAGATCGTCTAGTTAGTCAAATTAGATAGTCTCAGGAAATACAGTAAAGGTCTCACAACTCATATAGATTTGCCTTAAGAGTTTTTTATCAGTTCCTTACGGCATGTACGGTAATGGCCTGAGGGAAAAAGACATTCCACACAACCCCGGTGAAAGGCCTTTATGAGAGTTCATTTCTCAAATTCATCCACGATGATAGCATCGGGGAACACAGTAAAGCTTACACAACACACAGTGATAGGCTTCATTGGTAATTCTTATGTCAAGTTCACCCACGGTGATAACTGAAGGAAATACAGTAAAACTCACACAATTCACAGTGTTACTGCTTTATGAGGCTACTTCTTTAGGTTTACCTATATGCTGATAGGGATTTTTATAGGGTTATTTTTTCAAATTCACCCTCGGTTATAGCTACAGGAAACACAGTACAACTTACACATACCACGATTACAGGTTTTACTGGTAATTCTTATCTGAAGATCATCCACGTGATAGCCTCAGAAAATACAGAAAATCTCACACAGCCCATGCTGAAAGGCTTTTTTTTTCCTCTCGACAAAACTTATCATAAGTTCACCCAATTTGATAGCATCGGGGGGCAACAATTAAGCTCACAAAACACACGGTAATATATAGGCTTTTAAACGGGTTCTTATCTTAAATTCGCCTACTATGATAACTTCAATTCTTCAATCATTACGTTATCTTTTAAAGACATCAAAACAGGTACTCGAAGTCAAAGTTGTATTGTATTTTGCTGTACAAACATAATATATATATATATATATATATATATATATATATATATATATATATATATAAATATATATTGCAAACACAGTTCATAAATATACTAAATGAAAGCACTGCATTGGATAAATAGTATACTAGTACATACGAGTAGCAAAGCATATGTTCAGTTTAAGTCCTTATAAGTATATCGAAAAATTAAAACCAAATCAAATAATTTTTTGTTGATAATCGTTCATTTCTTCAATTATATGCATCCCTAAGACATTTGCTTAAATAATAATAGTAACGTTTTTATACAAACAAAATATATATGGTTAAAATCAACAGCTATAATCAACAGCTTAAAATTGAAATTGAAATCATCAGGATAATGCGTGTAATAATTTGTATTTACATTTATAAGCACTTAATTACATTATTCAAACTGATGAATAGCGCTATTTATACTTTTTTCCTTCCAAACATTAAACAGCTTTATAAGATACAATTTAACACGCCTGCAATAAAGTGGTAATGATAATTCTATGCTGTAATCATGCATTTGTTAATAATTCATGTAGAAAAATAATAATAACAATATTTCTAATGCTTACTAAGAAATAAGTGTTAAAAAGTTCAAATGAAAATTGTGACAAACATTTTCCTATATTAGTGTTTGTATATTACCTTGTTTATCACTGATTTATGATTTGATTTCCAGATGGTGAAAATAAAACATGTATCGGCTGTAAAATGTTACTAGCAATGACTAAGATAACTTTCAAATCATGACATAGTATGCTCCCTAAAATCTTCACCTACGTTGAACGTTTTTGATATATTTTTTTTTATTTTATTATTCATAAAATTAACATTCTAACATACATTACATAAAAAAGTGTAAGTATATCACAGAATGTGTACTCATACAAAATATTTAAACTTTAAAGTACAACTTAACGTATGGAATTCGACTAACAGGTAGTTATTATATAGCAATAATGATCAATACTTTGAATTTGAAATTTGTATACAGCGTAATTTTGCTGAATATGTAGACTTTATTGTGATTAAAACACGTAAAGTAGTAATGATAGTTTATCATGTAAATACTACATAAATTGTCAATGATTAGTGACTGTCTAATTCACAAAAATCATAGTCATTGTTTACTGGCCTCATTTTCTGATCGCTTTTAGTATCAAATAATGTATTTTCATGTTTATCCCCATTGTGGCAATTAAATACAGCATAATCGTTGCTTGGACGAGGCATAGTTTTGTGTTTCCCTGCTTCTGCAGAGTCGTAAACATCATCTGGTTGTGCCAGGTTTGATTTGCCGAAACCTTTACTGTTGTCAGATCTTACGCTTAGTACGGCATAGTCATTATTACTATTATTTAAAGGTTGTTTGTTCTTTTTGTTGTCATGCGTTGTATCATATACTTCCTCGATGCATTCATTTTTGTTCCCACTCGACTTCGCTTTATTTACCACAGCATAATCATTGTTGCCACTTAACGGTTTGTTATATTTGTTATCGTGTGCATTATCACAAACCTCAAAACTCTTGTTTTTCTCATTGGCAGATGTTCCTATGTTAACCGCAGTATAGCCATTGTCAATAGCAGATATTTTTTGATCACCGTCATATTCTTTCCCGGCATCACCAACAGCTTTCTGTTTGGGTTTGAAAGGCTTGGCGTACATAACACCTGGAATAAACGATATTTAATGGAGCATTACGCATGTATATAACACAAAGATACAGGACAAGTGAGCAAATTATCAATATAAAAATGTTTCTTCAAACAGGAAATGCCGCTCCACAGTCTTTGTATTGTTTTCATCAGTAAAAACTGGAGTTCTGTACCTTGCCAGATGTTATGTCCCAAAGAATAATTATAAAATGTAAAACATAAAATGTCTAACAAACCTGGTTCGTCAGTTTGGTTCGGAATATTTTTCATATCAAGTACATAATCGTTTTCTTCACATTTTGTATTGGAAGATAAATTTTGTCTGAAAGTAAAAAGTAAAGTCTACTTAATATTTGAATATAAACATATCCTTTTTTACACTGAACGCGGAACTTTTGTCCCTTAAACTTGTCGTGATAATCTGCACCAGAATTTTATTTTCATATTTCAGATAAATATTGTTATCTTGACTCGCGTTACATTTTGCTTATATCTTACCGTTAGTCTTAATACGAAAAAAACATGTTCTTTGTCAAAATTCAAAACTTTCGATGAAAATTAATAAACGTAATAAAGATATATATAGACCTCAATTTCGAAAATAAATATACTTTAACCAATCCAAACGTAGTGAGTACCTTCGATTTCGTTTTATAAGACAAATTACTAGGATCAACAGCAAGACTATAACAACAACACCAGCACCGGCAGATCCTGCAAAAACCACAAGTGGTTTCTTTTCTTCCAAATCGGCACCTTTAATAGCTAAAAAATAAATAACAAACATTCAAATGGATTGCTTTCATATGAGGTTTGATCTGTAAAAATGAAAAAAAAATTGGTACAGTCATGCAAGGATTCTTTAAAAGTAATAGGACTGCTGCTTTATTGTTAACATCTTTATAAATTGACGCACACACTTTTACAAGAGACACATATAGAAACGTCTCCTCTTTTAACTGTGAACAAATCAAATGATGTTATTGGAAAAAAATAGTAACTTTTTACTGTGAAAACATGACATTACAGGTTGGAAGGATAAAATATATTTAATATCTACATTTACCCAGAACACATTCCAGTCCTTCATATCCGTCAACACAGCCATGAATGCATGCTGCTGTAACCTTATTGCAAGTTGCATTGACACATTGACTGCTGCATTTTTTATCACATTTTTCGCCATAGAATCCGTCTTTGCATCCATACAAACAATGTCCCGTTTCCCAGTCGCAGCTTTTATTGTTGCAAGCTTTATTACAATTGTTTTCACAATGTTCGCCGTAATTTGTCATTGATTTACATCCATGTAGACATTTCCCTGTATCCCGTGTACAAACTCGGCCATTGTCGGTATTATTGCAATTTGCGCTACAGATTTGTAAGCAATTATGTGAGAATGCATTATGATTGCATTTCAAGCATGTCCCGTTGGTTTTGTCACAAACTTCACAGTTTCTTGCGCACTCAGTGTTACACTTAACCCCCCATTTTCCTCGAACGCATCCTTTTGTACATAACCCTGCTTCATCGCATACCATGTCTGTACAGTTTCTTGAACAAACTGTACATATACTATAGTTATATCCAAAAGGTATAACCAGGTAATGGGTACTGTCACATTCTGTGCAGCTTTGATAACTACCTGATTCATTTGTGCTACATACTTGGCAATGTGGGTCTATTTCATGACACGATTTGGAACAATTAAGTCCATAAGTTCCATTTCTACATAAGTCACAATATTCTCCGACAAATCCCGGTTTACACTCAAAACATCGACCATCAGTACGTGAACAATTTCCATAACAACCAGATGGACAAGCATGTGTACATATTTCACCGTAAAAGCCGGTCTTACATTCGGTACAGTTTGTCGCCGAAACACAAGCAGAACAATTCTCCGTGCAATTTAAATCACAATGGTTAACATATATACCAGGTGAGCATGTGTCACATTTATCACCAATATAACCAGATTTACATCCGTTCATGCAATGCCCTGTTCCTTTATTACATGTTCCATCGACACAACCAACTGAACATCTATACTGACAATATGATCCGTAAAACACCGTGTTTATACACCATGAACATTTTGTGGCTGTACAAGTGCCACAGTTACTAGGACATGCTTCATTACATTCATCACCATACTTTAAACCTACACAAGTATCACATCTACCTTTGGTAAAGTATGACGATTTACAGGTACATTCACCTGATAAAAGCGAACATGTATTGTTTGCACAACCTTTTCCACATTGCAAATTACATTTGTCAGTGTAATAACCTGGTTTACATTCTGTACATTGATAACCATTGAAACAAGTTTTACAATTTTCTAGACACTCCTCTGTACATTTTGGGCCATGATAACCGTCGATACAACCATCACGACAATTCTTGTTTGATACACAAGTAAAGCTTCCTTTACAACATGCACATTCTGCACATGCCTGTATCGATAATCCTAGAAAATAAATATAAAATTAAGATCAACATGTTTCAATATGCTTGTTATTGATAACAACATTATTTATAAAGCTATTCATCTTATCTTATTAAAGCTGTGTCACCTTTTACATAATATAATGCTCTGGACAAGAATTAATGTTTCCTTCATCAAAACAGACTTAACGAAAGAGCATGCCTACAGAGTCAGTTTGGCTTTAACCGGAGATAAAAAAGGTGATATATTTTTGCATTATATGAATTATTTTGAAAACATAAACCAATTTCGCCTTAATTTTTATGCATAATTGACAACGTTTCTTACGTGTGCGTCTTATCTGTGTCCATCTTTAAAAGGGAAACCACTCGGGTATAATAGCAAAGAAGCACCATAAAATTTGAATTTTCTAACGTAGTTCAACTAGGGCAATTAAAATAGTAAGATATGCAAAAGATATCTAAGAAAAATGTTCTGAATTAATTGAAAATGCGTTTTGTGCTATTATGGCCTTATAAAAGTGAAATCCGTTGCAATGCATTTCAATTTTGAATCAGTTGTCATGTCTACAATCATTCATAACAATTTATCAATCTACAGAAGACGCATAATTCACTACATTGTATATATACGTTTAAAATATAACTTGTTGTCTGTATTGTATGAAAATATATAATACAAAGATCTTTAATTACATGAACTGTTAAACTTATTAAAAGCTACTTACCGAACTGACTAACTAATACTAAAATAAGAAGCACAGATGTTGTCAAGCCCATCATTGTATGAAACCGGTAACCTGAAATATAGATTTTTTTATATTGGTTTAAAATAAAAGGTAATTGTACAGGATACAGATATATATGAAGTTTACTTATGAATTTGTTTAAAAGTAAATTTATTCAATAACAGTAAAATCATCAACTTCTTCAAAATGCCAATGGAAACTTAAATGAGTAAATACGAGCAACGTAAGAAAAGATCGTGACAACATTTTGGTCACTCACATATCAAGTGCGAATATGGTGCATAAACTGGAAAAATATAAACATTGATTTAAAGAGGAAAATCTGTAACAAGCATGCAGATCTAATATGCCTCTCTTTATTATCACATCGTTGATGTTATCACATCGTTGATGTATTCAATTATCTAGTTGTATATCTAATATCCGTTGCTAAACAATTTTATGAATAGTTTAAATTAATGATATCACGATGTGTAATTATGCACCAATTTTATGGTACATTGTGTAAATCGGCTTGCAGCTGTATTATAACAAAAATACTCCTGTAATTATATCTCTATAAAATATTTAAACACCTGTAAACTTTTTATCTTAAAATAAGTCAGGGACAAAACATTACTTGCATCAAATCAAATCCAAGCACAGGTTAAGATTGTTAAATTGTTAAATTTTGAAAAGGGAGGTCATCCGAGAAAGAATCAATCAGAACAAATATATAGTTGACAAATGCAGGCTTGGTTTTGTCAATCGAAAAATTGAAATGTACAACTAAACACTTAAATATCCAACAATGCATACTTGCAAACGAGAGATATGTGATAGCTGTGTCGGAAGTTTTAAATGTTTATCATACAAAATCATCTTTACTAAAGAAAGGAGGACTCACTGAAAATATTGCTCAAGCAGTTATTGAATATACGTATAAAACAACAGAAAATTAGTAATATTTTCATATGAAAGATAGCCTAATTAGCTTAAAATGCTTTAAAAAAAGACTTGAAAACTTATTAACTAGATATAGGAGAACAAAACTGAAAATATTGCTCAAGCAGAAAATGAGTATTAAATATAAAAAAGAGTAAATTGGAAATAATATTTACTGAATCGAAATAGCTTGATTCGCTTTAATGATTAAAAAAGGATTGAAATAGCCAAAGAACGTCTCAATATTAAGGAGTAAGTAAAATGACCCCCTTATATATTCTATATGCCTGTTTAAATTACTACATAGTTTGTAATGGGTTTTGTCAAGTTAATGATATACTAGTAGTTCATATTGATATTTTGTCTACTTTGCCTACTATACTGTTAAAAATACGCATTTTCAACTTTAGACTTTTTTAAGACCTTACTTTTTATTCATAAGAAATAAAATTTTTTCTTCTTATCATTGGAATTCTAGTTTGAAAAGCAGACGTTTCCTTGGAGTAAACCGCTTTTATTTATTGGAACCAACTATCATCGAAGAAGCTATGCTTATTTGTTATCTTAGGGTGTATAATAAGAGATTAAACTCTTTAAGATCTATTTTATATATCATATAACCCTTCAATTCTTTATAGAAACAGAGTTTTTTAAGGGGGGTCAGTATACTCTTCCGAACAATATTATTTTATACGCACTCTATAAACATATCGTGTTTATTTGATCAAAATACAAACAAAGGGCACAACCATCTATTTTAAATACTTTAAATGACCCACATTCAACACGTGTTCAATATAATGTCAAAAAGTTGAAAAAGCAAATTTCATAAAATATGATAAAAGATTGCTAACTAATACTTTAGCATGAATTATAAATATTTTAGAAAATTATGTATTATTAGTATTATCTAACATAAATCTTAAATATAAACACTTTAACATAAAATACCTCTTTAATTATTGGATATCCAAGTCCCCTCCACTTCTAAATTGTATCTGTAGTAAACTACCACTGTAATGAATAGTTTGAAAGGCAAAAAATACTTCCTTGTTAATTCAAGCACGGAGCGTAATTTCAAATTTCATATTTTACCATATTGTACCACTGTCAATTCATAATTACACTAACAAACAAAATCAGATAACGTTACAGCAACACGAAGTTAGCGGTGCGGAAAAAGCCAATAAGTAGGGGTGCGAAAAAAGCAATAAGGAAGAAGAAATTGAAAAGATAAAGGCCTTCACGAAATTATCATTTTAAATTTGATATCTTCCAATCTTCCCCTCGCAAAATCATCCAAAGTCAAAATACAAGGTTCACATTAGCATATTCATATAATGTCCTTATTTTCTCTGTATTTAATTATTATGTAGCATCAAGATAAAATACCAGTATGTGCATTATTTCACGCATTGACGAACACCTACGTATATAAACACTGTTCTTTTTAAGCTGACGAGATGTTTACTTCCCGTTCGGTTAACTTAATTCGTGTAGCGTTGAAGTGAAAAGCAGGAGACCCGGGTTCGATTCCCAAACGATGCATTATCTTTGGTTGTGATTGACGAAGTCTTCTTTACGTTATTTTGCTCTGTACCTGTCACGGGTTCACTCGTCGGTGGAGCTTTTAATGTCCAAACTGATAAGATTGTCAGTGAAAACAATATTTCATTTATAATTGATGAACATGCATGGGTCCTTTGGAAGGGATTGGCTGTGGAATAACTTACACACCTCCTCTATTGTTTGTGACAGGTCTATATTTTTCGGATAGACCTGTTTAAACAAAAGAAAGCCCGTTATGAGGTCTTTCTTTTGCACGTGCACAGGTATGTTCCAGTCAGACAGACCGGTCATGAAATACACGTGAAAAAATAGACCTGCCAATGCGCAGACAAAGAAAACACGAAATGCAATCAAAAATTAAAAATTGAAATAAAATATCAATGATTGTCATAATGTTCCTGTCTTACAAAGTCGTGATACATTTTTTAAACAAGATAATGTTTATTGAATGCACTAAGCAGTTATTTTCAGGTGAGGGCCCCCGATAATGTTGTTATAACTTTTGGCCCAACCCTTTTGTATTTTTACATTAATGTATTTAAGTATAATTGTGAAAATTTATGTATGTATATATATACAATAAAATATGTTTAAACTAAACAATTATTCCAGCATCCCTATATCAAATCTTTGAATAAAAATAATGGATAGCATATCAAAGTTAATAAAGGGCCGAAATGTCTTGAAGGTATCTTAACAAATGCGAATGCGAGTACTTAATAAGTCAATGTTTATATTTGTTTTTCAATTTGGTTTTACGTCACACGGACACACTATATGTCATATGGCGACGTTCCAGCTTTACTGGCGGAGGAAGACCTCAGGTGCCCTTCCGTACATTATTTTAGGCACGAACGGGCACCTGAGTAAAACAACCGACGTTCCGTAAGCTAGCTGGATAACTTCCTTACATGAAAGAATCTAAAGTCCCTTTCGGGATTCTAACCGACAGCGGTGAGGGGCAAGTGGTTTAAAGTCAACGAACTTAACAACTCGGCCACGGACACCCCTTAAAGCCATTGTAAACAATCGTTTGCAATTTATCGATTTTATTCTTGTCAATTAATTTACGATTTCATTTTTTTACATTTATGACTCTCTCCATATTATCAAGATATTTCTTAAAGATCCTGTAACACAATTTTTATTATGGTTTTAAATCATAAATATGATGCTCAAATTAAGATTTATCAATATTGTAGGCATTATTTATAAAGACATTACCGAATTTAACATTTCATATAAATAAGGGAGGTAATAAAAAATCTATTTTTTATAAGTCAAATTTTACATTTATTTTAATGATAACATAAAATATGCATAATTATTTTTAGTACATATTTTATATATTCTTTGCTGTTTTAAAATTATTTTATTTGCATAACTATGTACATATACATGTATATAATTTCACTTAGTGTGGTTTACAACTTTGATCACACCTTTCAGTATCTTTAAGCAAAACTTACATTTCCAGCATATCAACTGAATACTTTGTGTTCTAGTAATTTCATTTATCTTGATGTTAATTTTAATCTTTAATTATGATTTTAAATAGAGCAATACATTGCATTATCTTTAGCACTGATTCCTGTAGCAAAGGTACCCTTACAGGTTCTATATTGCGGGCATTTCAAGTTGGTGGTATTGTTGCAGTTGCAGCTTTGTTTGCCTTTATCAAATGGAGGCGGGTGTTTGTAGTATTCAAGTAAATCGTCTCTTTATGTAAATGTTTGACTTGATGGATTCTGTTGCATTTCTGATTAAAATTTTGAAAAAACCGGTACATTTCTGATATTTGTAGTAATAAACAATATTACCATTTTCAGTATTGTTTACGAATGATTTTTTCTTTTATTATTTCTAGGTTTGGAAGTAAACAAACAGAAAACACTACAGCTTCTGGTAAATATCATTCCAATAGAAGTACAAAAAGACTTATCGTTGCCACATTGTTTGCTATATATTCATATTCAAATAAAAACAGAATCCCAGGAAGATAATTGAGACATAATTTTCTATTGTTATATATATACAATTAAGAACTATTCCATGAGATAGCATCATTAACGTCGTGCTTCTATATAAGTTAGTCAAATGTAATATTAGTTTAATTGCTACTGTACATTCGGTTGGGTACATAGAAATAATGCCATTCATGTGTCTTTCATGAATTTATTGCGTGCTTATGACGACGTAATATGACTAATAAAACTCAGAATTCTTTATATTTAATACAGATATCACACGTGAATACGGCTCTCCTGTTGCATATGGAGAATTTAATTCGCGTACAGTCAGATTACTACAAACCAGCAGATACCACCACCAGAAGCTATTTATGTTAACACTAGATTATAATTAACTTCTAATATTGACAATGATGTTTGTGACAAAAGAAGATGTTTTAATGTTTGACGTATCTAGTTTACCATTGAACAATAGAGATGCCTTTTTTCGTAAAAAACTTGCGGCATTTATGTCCTTAAGCAACTGATGGGGTGTGATTAAAAAAATCATTCTTAAATATATACTACTCAAAATTGTCTAAGGATCACTTTCTTTTTCTACAGTGGGTTACTTTTGTGTATTTGTAATAAATGTGAAAATTGATTAAAGGGAATTAAATATAGTTAGTAAGTAATTGATTTTTATGAAAATAGTCAGTGGAAGTGTTCTTTGACGTGTACCTGTTGCGGAAAGAGTATGCTGGACGAAAATCATCAACATTTTGGAGATCTCATAGTGCAATGAAAACAAATCTTGCAAATCAGGAAAGGATTGGCGTAGGGTGTTTAATACCGAGTACGGTGTCCGCGGGCATTAGTAACGACTTGGCATCGCCGCCGCATGCTGCTGATGAGCCTGCGCACCTTGTGATGAGGAATCTGGGCCCATTTCTCTATGATTGCATGTCTTAGCTTCTGAATTGTTGTTGGTTTGACGTGGTGTGAAGAAATGGCTTTCTGCAGCATATCCGAAGCATGCTCAATTGGATTTATATCCGGGGACCGCGCTGGCCAATCCATGCGGACTATAGTTGCCTCTTCAAGATATCGGTTTGTGATGTGGGCTCTGTGTGCACGGGCGTTGTCATCCATAAAATAAAATGAGCACCGATTGCGCCAGCGTTCGTGCGTACATGGACGTCTAAGATTACATTGACGTACCTTACTGTCGTCAGTGTACCGTTTTCAATGATGTGTAGGTCCGTTTTCCCCTGAGCTCTTATTCCCGCCCACACCATGACTAGACGCCTGACAAAACGGTCGTGTTTTGCAACGCATGCTGGAGCTTAGCGTTCATTTGGTCGTCTTCAAACCCTAGCCCGTCTCTCCGTGAAGTCCACACAAAACCTTGACTCATCAGTAGAGAGGGCCGGAATCCAATCATTAACTGTCCATGTGACATGAGTCTGCGCCCATTTGAAAACGCTCTTGAATATGGCGTTGTGTCAAAGGAGTGCGAATTGCTGGCCTCCGTTATCTCACCCAGCACCAATGAACCTGTTTCTAACATTTTACGTGCTTACACGTAAACCAGTTGCATTTTTGAAGTCGTATTGTAAGGTCGTACCGTTTGAGAACCGTTGGCGCCTGGCCTGAAGGACAATACATCGGTCATGGGCTTGAGTCGTTAAACGATTCCGACCTCCGGCGTGGCCCTGCAAGACATTTCCAGTCATTTGGAATCGGTTCTACATCCTGGAGACAACGCTCAGGGATACCCCAAGAACATGGGCAACGTGCCTTTGTGAACGGCCAGCCTCCAACATTCCAATACCCCTATTCATCTTATCTTCACTTACACGACGTCTAACCTCTCAATTTGCCATAGTTTGTTAATTTCGAAGACAGTTTACGATTAAAACGTATTGCTGCTTGTACACGTTTAAGTGAAGCACATGGCCATTAAACACCAAATTCCCATTGATATGCTTTTCCACGTGCTTAACGTGCAAGGTGTAAATGTCAAATCGATAACTTAAGTACACGATTATGAGGTCTACATACAGGTGTATCGTTAGCAGAAATATTATTTTAATATGATAATAGGACTGAAATATGCAATTCTTAAGCGAATGTTGAGTTTTATATGTACATTTGTATATTGTATATTAAATTATTAACAACATTACTAATTTATTCTCACAAGAATTTATACAAAATGACACATTATTGGACAAACGCAAACATGTTCATTAAAATGTTATATGCGTATAACCTCGAAAATAATTTAATATAATTTAATAAAAGACATATTTTTATTAACAAACCGAAACTTAAATTAAACATAATTTCTTGATGATCATTATTAAGTTTCTTTTGATATTGTCTTTTTGTTACTTTGAGCATATCAGTCTTATTGTGTGTACCTAAATAATTGTATAAAACATTGCATTACTGATTTGCTGTGTTTTTCGCAATTTGCATATTTAAAAATAATTTTATTTCACTATATAAAGTATAGATCTCCATCATTGATTTATTCCTGGATGTTTCGAATTATTCACAATTTATATATTAAGTATTGGTCCTGTTACAAAAAATGTACGTTTTATAATCAATATATATATACATCATTTTCATCAACGCATATAAGTAAGCAATATTTAGATTAATGTAGCCTCAGAACATTTTGATTCGTGTGTCGGTAAAGTGATCGTACTTCATACTGCATTTGTCAATGGTTATTCGCTTTCAAAGTCATAGACATTGTTTACTGGCCGCATTTTCTTTTCTTCAATTTTTGTGTCGTTTAATGTACTTGTTTTGACAGCTTCATGTTTATCACCATTGTTGCGCTTAAATACATCATAATCATCGCTTTGACGAAGCATAGTTTTGTGTTTCCCTCCTTCAGTAGTGTCATATAAATCATGTCCTTCAGCGTCTACTGGTCCCTTTGTTTTCCCAACTCCTACAGCGTTGTCAGATATTACGCTGAGAACAGCGTAATCATTATTACTATTTAAATATTTTTTGTTTGTTTTGTTTTCATGTGTTGTATCATACATTTCGTCGATGCAATCGTGTTTCTTACCAGCCGACTTACCTTTGTTAACCACAGCATAATCATTGTTGCATTTGTTATCGAGTTCAATATCAGATACTTCAAAACTCTTATTGGCAGATGCTCCTATGTTAACCAAAGTATACCCTTTGTCAATGTCAGATATTGTTTTATCATCGCCAAATGCAGTGTCATATTCCTTTCCCGCACCATCACCAGATTGCTGTTCTCTTTTGTGAAGCTCGGCGTAAGTAGCATCTGAAATAAACGAACCTAGAAAATATAACAATTACAGCTGTAAAATATGTGACAGATTCGCTGTCATAAATCGTTTCACAAAACAAGTAATGATGCATTCATTTAATCTGTCTTATTTTCAGATTTACTTATATTTTGAGTCATAGAGCAGTTCGCCAGTCCTTCCGTTTCACCTTCTTTTCCGAATTAATTTTATGTTGCGAATGAGATTTAATCAGTAAATGTATATAAAGCGTTATGTCAGGGCTATTCATCTAAAAAGCATGGTATTGCCATTTCAGTTCCCAGACACACTAGTTCAGTTTCCTAACGGTTAAACTATATTTGATTTCCGACCCCGACCGTTGGCCACTGTGTATCTAATTGAAAGATGAGTCGTCATGCAGTTCTTTTACTGTTGCAAAACCTAAAGGAAAATTATTTATACATGTAAATATATAGTCTCTTGGAACTACGTTAATAATAAAAGAATTTGTTAGATATTAACGTTAACATACCAAATTCGTCTGTCTTACACTCTTTAGAAATATCTTGCATGCCCTGTACATAATCATTTTCCTCACTTTGTCTCGATGTCATCTGTTGTCTGTAATATAATAAAATGTTATGAATAAGTAAAAACGAATATGTTTTAATCTAATACTGGTTTCGATTACGTTTAAGATCCTGAAAAAATGTTTTGACAGGAAAATTAATCATAAACAACTTAATGTGCGATAAAACACTTACTTATCGAATAATAAAGTTAAATCGAGTAGTGAAATAAATAAAAGTGTACCTTTTATTACGTTTTACAAAACAAATTACTATAATCACAAGCAAGATGATTACAGCAACACCAGCAACAGCAGATGGTGTGATTATCACGAATAATTTGTTTTCTGCCGATGTTATGATAGCTAAAAGGAAATAATAAACATTCAGACACATTTGACTGTTTAATTATGATAAATTATAGCACACAATCATGTTTAAAAAAAGAGAGAACATTAATCCCTTAAGTAATTGCTTCGGAATCATGGTAAACTTTCTTCAAGTATTAAAATTGGGATTTTTAAAACTTATCATATAAACAAAATGAGAACATATAAAACATGATTATAATGTATTCTGTATCCTGAAAGTATATTTCTGTGTAGCTATGAATTTGTCAAATATCGAGTATAAGGATCTGAATTAAAATGATATTTACATGATTTGTTGCACAGTTTTCCGAAAAATCCCTGTTTACAAGCTAAGCATCGACCATCAGTTAATGAACATGTTCCGTTACAGCCAGATGGGCACATATGTTTACAAGTAAATCCATAAAATCCACTGTTACACTGTGTACAGTTTGACTTAGAGGTACAAACAGAACAATTTACTGGGCAATTGAAATCGCAATACTGTCCGTATAATCCAGGTGAGCAATTATCGCATTTATCTCCGATATACTTTGGCTCGCATCCGCGGATACAATATCCATTTTCTTTCTTGCATGTACCATTCAGGCAACCGTATGAACATCTGTATTGACAATATTCTCCGTAATATAAGTACTGTTTACAAACTGAACAGTGTTTGTCTGATGTGCAGGATACACAGTTTCTTGGACAAGTGTTGTTACAATCATCACCATACATAGTTCCTAAACAAACATGGCATTTGCCATGTTTAAAATTACTCGATGTACAAGTACACTCCCCTGATGATAATGAACAAGTATTGTCTAGACACCCCTTTCCACATTGTAGAGTACATTTGTTAGCGTAATAACCACGTTTACATTCCTTGCAGCCAATATCATTAACACAAGTTTGACAATTTTCCAGGCAGGGCTCGGTACATTTCGCACCGAAATAGCCAGCTATACATCCTTCTGTACAATTCTGTTCTGAATCACAAGCACTTGCTCCACCCTTACAACATGTACATTCTTGACATGCCTGCTTTGATAATTCTAGAAAATCAATTTTGATGATTTTATTCTAAAACATAATTTGTCATAATTGTTCAAAAATAGCTTAAGATATATAGAAAGGGTCAAGTGTTTTTTATCATGACATGAATTATGCACACAATTGTGAACTTTGCACAAACAGATATTGTTAATAACGTCAATATATATTGTATCACGATGATATTCATTTTACAAAAAGAACTACTAGTAATACTGGTTGGAGAGATAATTTCGACACATAGATAACCCCCACACTTGGTTTTATCTTTTTGTCAACAAACAAGCACATGGCCACCTAGTAATAAAGGAGAAGGACGGATTATGATGAGATTTTTAAATGTTTTTAACTTTAAAATGTGTTTATGTTGACCACAACCTTTTGTCACAAAAACTGCCACAAAACGTTCTATTTACTTCACTTCAAGACGGTACTTAGAATTGTCTTGAAAACAGGCTACTGACTTTGGAAAATGTCTTTAAATGTTAAATTATCAATAAGGCAAAGATAAAGCATATAAAATGTAAAACAGTTTTTACTTTCAAATTAAAGTGTCGACTTTATCTACTGTCCAGTGTTAACAAGACCATGTTTATGTATCCTTATTCAGGACCTTAAGGAAGTACCAGTTTCCATTTCATTAAAGAAAAAAAAATTGCATATTATGATTATAAATGTTTGAACCGAACTTTGTTTAGGAGGTTAAAAAATTAAATTATACACAAAAATAAAAAAGTTATTGAAAACGACTAGTGATTTTCCGTCGGAGTTATCTCTCCAACCAGTATATATAACATTTAAATGCTATTGATTTTTTATCGTACTTGAAAAGAATAATTATTTGCTTTCATTTTCTAAACATTCATAATTCCCTGAATTTGAAATATGTTTATAAGTATATATGTATGTACTAATTAATACAATTTATAACTACTTGTTGATACTTGATTCTTTGTTTATTAATGCTTTTTCTTTACAATAAAATAATTGTAATTCTAATGTGACTTACCAAACTGCCAGACTAATATAAGAATTACTGCAATTGATATCCCCATGATTGTGTCATGCATGTACTCTAAAATAAAATGTACGACTTTCGCTCAGTTAATAAAAATGTGAAGATATATAACACATGGTTAACTTCTTCATAGGAAAACATAGGTAAATCGAGACATTTTACAATTATCGTGATACTAATTGTAACGATTAAAATTTGATAAAATAAAAAAGAATTTTGAACATTATCAACAGAAAACAAAAAGTTGATATAACGAGTTACTGTTGAATAAACAGAACATAATTTGAGTACATTCGTATTAATTATGTAATGACATTTAAAGATTAATTTTCAGTTAATCATATCAATTTATCTTTCAAAACATGAAGACGGATTTCAAATGACTGCCCACGTCGTCAATGTGCAAGTAGTAAAGGTTGCAAAATACAAAGTATACAAAATATTTAACTTTTATAAATTATCTTCATCAGTACCCAGAATGGAAACGTAAACTACAACAAATTAATCAAACGTTAACGCCTGAAAAAATAAGCAATTTCGATATCATAGAAAAAACACGTTTAATATCAGTAAAAATTTAACACAGATTCAAAAGCAAATGAGTCTGTGTACAAATCAAAAATAAAATGAGAAGATTGATTTCCACAAAAAGAATTTCACTGGCAAAATATTTACGGAAGAACTTTCAATATATATATTTATATATAGGAACATTACAACAAACAAGTACCTACTTCAATGTTTATCAACCGAATCTAGTCTCTGTGAATTTTGCTGTATTTATATTGAAAGTAAAGAGGATCTATTTTGGAACTGCCAAACGTTACGAATATTTTGAAGAGGGGGTGGAACTATATACGCTTTCTTTCGTTCTAATCCCTTTCAATTTGACGTAACAATTATATAATGTAATTTATGTAAAATATTGAAATAAATATGTTTAAACTAAATATTTTGGAATAATCTTATATTCAAATGGCTATATGAAATAGCAACACATGTAAAGTAGTGTGACAATTTTAGATCTTGCTGTCTTGCTAAAGAAAAGAAAACATCATATATTTTCCTCATTTCAAAATATTACATTTATACCAGTAAATTAATGAAAAAACTCCAGACATTAGTATCTTCAAAAGGAAATCTTTAAACAGATTAAAAATGAAGTCTTTTTGCATTACAAAATGATACATTAGAAGACTTTGAAAATTGCTGGATAATCTAACTGAATTAATTGCTATCTAAAACAGTACATTCAGAGCGAAATTCTACCAAATCATTTTTGTCACGCATTTTGTCAGGCAACATATTTTGCCCGTAGTTATATAAATGAATGCACCGCTTATTTTTTTTAAAATTCTATATCTTCTAAAATACCTGACTTAAACTTCATAAATATATTAAGTTTTTAATTATCGACGTATCAATGTAAATGCTATAATTATCATATTTATATTCTTTTCATATTTGTATTCTTTTATTTAAAAAATAAGCTTTAAATGCGGTTAAAAACATCATTTCAAAACATGAATACGGATTTCCATTGACTGCCCTCGTTGTCCCATTCAGATCCCATACACGTTTCTCTATGTGAGTTATTTTAAATATGTTTTGTCTTTGTCATTTTTCAGTTGGATGTCGGATGTCAAAAACAATTTGAAAAAAATAAAGGCTTTTAGTAAAATAGAGAAAATAAGAATCCCTAAGACAACAAAAATGAAAATGTTGCAGGCTCGGTTTGATTGAGCCTGTTCATGGACGGTACTGACAAGTGCAAACTACCGTCCATGCCCCCTAGCGCCGGCTTGAGCGGAATTCAACATTTAACATGAACTGGTATAATTTTGATTTTTGAAACAACCGCAGTTGTGTTCATATGGCAGTTATCATGGAACTTTCAATGTGTCACGTAAGTGCCATTCCATGAAAAGCGGCTTAAGTTCCCGGTGTAAAATATGAGTGTACCCAAAACGAGAAAAAATGGGCGGAAAAAATGAAATGGAATTTTGAAAGGGGATCAGAGGTTATGAAGTCTGCATATCACAGAAAAGACGTCAAAAGACAAAGTTAAAAAGCAGGCAACATATTTTGCCCGTAATTATATTAATGAATGCACCGCTTAATTTTTTAAAATATCCTATATCTTCTAAAATACCTGACTTTAACTTCATAAATACATTTAACTTCTAATTATCTAGGTATCAATGTAAATGCTATAATTATCATGTTTATATTCTTTTCATATTTGTATTCTTTTATTTAAAAAATAAGCTTTAAATGTGGTTAAAAACCTCATTTCAAAACATATATACGGATTTCCATTGACTGCTCTCGTTGTCGATGCACACGTAGTAAAGCGAACATGAATTCAGGGACCTGATGGTTTATCTCAAAATTTTATGAGTAATTAAAATGATACAGCTTGGTGTAATTTATAACTCTTTTAATATGCTTTTAATATCATTTTATATTATGCTTCAAAACTTCCGGCTTTATCATAACAAAATATTTCGAAAGAAAGGCATTTTTGGTATTCAATCTCTATTGATTTTATTAGCGTATCTATTTTATATGTTTAAAACAGGTTTCATATTAGAAATCTTGAATAGGGCCCAAACAAAAAGGGGCCGTACAAAGTAAATAGATGTATAGATGTTGCCAGTTGCATACCTGTTTTAATGATTCTTATCAAGAGAAATAATGTTGTATGCAATCTAAACACGTAAAATACATGTAGCAAACCTGTGATGTTTAATAGCGGTGTTCGTCATTCATAAAAAGCTTTACTTAAGATAGCACGACGTTTTGAAAACATCGCTGAGGCAGAAAATGAATATACGGGATACATTTTAAAGTTCAAAAGTAATAAAAGTACCATATTAAAATAGCCCGATTCGCTTTAATAATTTAAAGAAGAATTGAAAAAACAAAGGAACGACTCCGTACAGAAGCTATATACTAATGTTTTATCCACAAATTAGAACATAGGGCACTACTTTTCTATTAAACTGATATCAGTTTACCGCGACTAACATCTTTTTTAAGAGTCTTAAGACAGTTATATACTTGTAAAACTTATAAAATACTACAATGAACTTCGAACACATTAAAGAATACATGACCAAAACGTCATTGAATTAAATGCGATGCCAAAAAGTTTAATAAAGAGCAAATTTAAAAAAGGCATATTCGAAATTTTAAATATATACAACAACTTGACTTCTTTAAAATTTTAATGTAAAATTTATAATCGAAACATTGACACTATTAAAATTGTAAAAGTCAAATACCTCTATAATGAAAACTCGATATCCAAGTGATCTTCCTTTACCAACTTCGTAATTGTATCTGAAGTAAACTTCCACTCAGATGAATGGTTTTGAAAAGCACAAAACATACTTTCTCGTTGTTATTCATTCAAAACAGAGCGTATCTTTATATTTAATCAAATAATATACAAATACATATCGAGCGTATGTTGGGACAATTTTGCGATCGAATTAGTCAGTCTGTACGTACTACGGCCTGTAAACCTTGTTTATATGATAACATAAGAACATACGACATAGTATCTCGTGGCCACGACATAGTATCTCGTGGCCACGAGATAAATAAAAACACACACATGTCACCTTTGTTCCACCGTAGAATGGTGACTACAAAGCGTAGCATTATTTACGAAACTGATTTAAATTAGACTGAGTCGTCATGCATTTGTTAGTAATGATGTTATTTATTAGAAGATTAGATGCATTTATTTGTAGAATGATGCAGGACTATAAGAATGTATCCAATAATACTGTAAAGAGACCTGATTCGTCTTCGTCATGTTGTTTCTTGCATGGCCTGTGCATAATCATTTTCTTCACATTTTCTGGTAGCTGATAACTTTCTTCTGAAATATAAAATGAGATGTAATTTGAAAATCAATATGTTTTAATGCTTGAGCGGTGCCTACATCAATGTCTTAAAATACATTTAATTGCTAATAACAGCAAACTCAGCTGGTATTTCTTTCAAAAACTGTTTTGTTTCAATTAATTGACTTTCAATTTAAAAGCATTAAAAAAACTTTAAAAAACTTCAAAACGGACAGTGAACATTAAAAAAGAACTCATGATTAATGTTATGGAATTAAACATATCTTTCAAAAACTTAACTTAAATCAAGTAAAATATACAACGTACCTTCTTTGTCGTTTTACAAGGCAAATTACTAGAATCACCAGTAGGATGATGACAGCAACACCAGCACCAGAAGATGCTACAATAATTACTTGTAATCTGTTTTCTTCCGATCCTTCGATAGCTAAAACGAACGAAACATTCATGTCACTTCTAATTTAAAATATAAATAATTTTTAATTTAAGTACACTAACTCAAAAGTATTGTGATATAAATCAGTCTATATCTTAAATATATTTACAAGTTATTCTATGCATGACACGCATGCTTTTACTTTTTTTAAAATACATCTTTTAACGTTTAAAAATGAACAAAGTTAATGTAAACTTATATACTAGTAATGCATTTTCAGCTTAATTATTGTTTTTCCCTAGGTTTGTAGACAAAATGTATTAATACGAATATTTACCTAAAACACATGTCGATCCTTCATATCCGTCAATACAGTCATGGCAATTGTTGTCTTTATTATGACACGATATGGAACAATAAACACCATATGTTTTGTTCTTGCATGTATTGTAACACAATTCTTCAACAAATCCAGGTTTGCATCCAAAGCATAGACCATTTAGAGAACAATTTCTATCACAACCAGATGGACAGGAATGTGAACATGTTTTGCCGTAAAAACCGGATTTACATTCTGTACAGTTTGTTTCCGAGATACAGGAAGAACATTTTTCTGTGCAATTTAAATCACAATAAAACCCGTATAATCCTTGTGAATATGTATCACATTTGACCCCAGTAAAACCAGATTTGCAGCCCCAAACACAATTACCGGTTCTTTATTACACTTTCCATCCACACAACCAATCGAACACCTATTCTGACAATATTTTCCGAAGATTTACAAGTACATTCCCCTGATGTTTGTGAACATAGACTTTCTACACATCCTTTCCACATGATAATTTACATGTGTTGGTATAGTAACCACGTTTACATTCTGTACATTCATTACCATTTGCACATGTTTAACAATTTGCCAAACACTCGTCAGTGCAATTATCACCAAAATAGCCGCCTATACATCCGTCTTTACAAGTTGTATTTGTTTCACAATCGTATGCTCCATACTTACAGCATGCACATTCCCGACATAACTGTTTTGATAATCCTGACAAAAAAGGTTTCAAAGTCATGAGATTTAGTTGTTCTCATAAATGTTTTAGATACATTTTATAAGGAGCTATTCATTGAAGATTTAGTGTGCACCAATACATCATGAATTGTTCGTAAAAGTTCATAAAGCATACAAAATAAGGCGTCTGAACCAACAAAGTGTCATTTTTATTTCGAACGGAATCAAAAATTGTTAAGGATGCAAAAGATACAAAAATGACATTGAATCTAAAAAAATTAATCAAAATCGTTTACATACGTTCTGCATCATTTTTATAACTTAGATTTATAATCACGTCAACAGCTTTGTATAAAACGTTAAAAAATTGGTTGCATTATCTGAAAGTCATATTAGCTGGAATGTATATAATCATAATAAAAACTCCTACAAAAGACGGTCATTTTGCCTTAAATTTTCCCAGATGGAAATATATTTTTAGTTTGTCAATATATAAGAAAAAATGCAGATTTTGATTTCATTTTTATTTGTTTGGTTCGTCAGACCAAACAAATAATGGTAGCGAAATTTCAGACTCTGATGCTGTTAATTAAATGCCGAAAGTAGTCCGCTTTTTTGAAGCGGTTACTTCTCTTTATATGTACACTAACGCCGAAAAATTCAGGGGGATCACTACGTAAAGACGGTCAAATGACAGGTGCATTAATTTTCAAGCAAAAAAGATCCCGAATGGTCGAAGATTTCTAATATTGTTTTATTCTTTATTGAAATACATGCTTATAGTAAGCTTTATTATTATTTACATCTGTGTTAAACAACGGCTAGCGTCGAAATAAATAATAGCGGTTACAAACCTGTGGTTTGATGTATTGTGAAATATAAATATTCATTTAGAACAATAGCAATAAACAAAACACATATATTAAATGTGACATACCGAACTGACAGATTAACAAAAGACACACTAGTGCTGCTTTTCCCATCATTGGGGTCGTCTATGTATCCTGAAACAAATGAACATTTTTAAAAGACCACTGTTCAGTTAACAAATAAAAAGTTAAATTCATCTTTGGAAATTGAAATAGAAAGTTTTAAAGTTCAAATGTGGCACTGAAAGCTTTTGATTTTTTTATATTTTATAACAGCAAAATCTGCCTGAGCGACCCCTAAATTAAATGACATAATCCGATCAATTAAGCCTCGATTTCTTTTCTTGAGACCAAAAATCCATATAAAAATATAACTATAAAACTTTATGTTGTAGCTTAAACTCTGACTTGTCTCGTTTTCGTTTTCCGAGTCTAAAACAAAATCAATATGAAATCCATACTTAAAGCAACTTCTAAAGTTGTAAGCTTTGTTGGTGTAACATGAAGGTCATTTTTCAAATCTAAAATGCAATACTGTACACAGTAGCACATTTCATACAAATATCTCGAACATAACAGCTTTAACTGTTGTGTACTTTTCCAATATATATTCAGTATTCTTATCAATATACAAATATATCATAGCTCAGATTTAAAGCAACGCTTAAGAATAGACAAAATATATATTTACCGGATATATGTGACAAAAGTTAATTATTACTTATAATGTTTTTGTATTAAAGTAGTTATAAGATATTAAGAAACTGTAGCTGAAACAATTAAAACAGAAATGAAAAAGCAGAAGAACGATTCAATATTTTTTAATTAAATTTATACATGAAAAATTTATATATTTAATGTCTATTCAAACTCATTGATATAATTTGGACAGCTTATCTATATCACGATTCTTATAACCATTCAAATGTGAAATACATGTAGTTAATTTAATAGATATTTGAAAGTACACAAATCCAACATGTGATTCCGATATATTGAAAAATAGCAAATTTTAAAAATAAAACTAATCAATAAAATTGTTAAATTTGTGCACTAAACATCAGTTTAAATATCGTATCATAAGTTTAAAATATGCAGCAAAGATATATTATTTACTTTTGAAAAAACGTTTTAAAACTCAAATACCATTATAGCGACTGTGTACTCGTACCCAAGTAATCTTCATTTCAATTTCATAATGGTACCTGCAGTAAACTATCGTTCATATGGATAGGTTTGAAAAAATAACTCATTTAACTTCTTTCTTTATTCAAGCACAGAGCGTGTCTTTGTATTTCAAATTTTTCTACATGAATATAAAATATCTTAATGTTAAACGCATTATAATAATTCAAACATTAAGAAATCGTTGAGGCGAAACGAAGTAAAAGGCGCAGATGGGTTAATATTAACCACATCTTATTAATAAGATACAAAGTTTTCTTGAGTTCCCTTCGGACTAGTGGTATTATGTAATTTTGTGGCCCTTCGAGATGAAAAGTTTTAATATCTTAGTGAAGAAAAATAAAACAAATGTGATAAATGTTTATCATTTTAAGAAAGTAGCGATAAATGTAAAATGGCTGGTCAATAGATTAGGAAAAAGTGAAAAGTATGTAATTGTACATAACGATAAAAGAATACCAACAATAGATACACTTCTGTGACAAAGAAGGCCTTTAAGTAAGATTTCTTATCAGTGTTTAGTATTTATTTAGGATAAAGGGCGTACATAGGACATTTATGATCAAACAAGTATTGTTTGAAGTCATTAATAGTTTGAGACAAATAAAGTATATAAGAAATCAATGTTTATTGTTTTAATAGGATTATCAAATTTGAATATATGTACTTTAATCTCCAATATGCATCTTAATGCATGGACATATCAACAGTCCGAAATAAGAACTAAAAATTTGAATTTTAACATGACAAAACGAATGTGAACGAAAACAAAATAAAGAAGTAAAACATATTTCCTCTGAAACAAATATTTAGTTTGATTACAATATTATACCATAGGAAAATTGCATAAGTTTTTAACGGCTTTATTCCATAGTGCATGATTTTAATGTTTTAAGAAAAATAGCAAGTTAGGTCAAATACATGATGAATACCTTCTTTCGCACGTTATGACTTTTAGAAAATTGATACCATATTCCAGAACTTGAAAATAGAATAAAATAAATCGAGTTTTTTTTGCGTCGCCTAAATTTCTCGAAATAACCTTTCGCACAATATTAGCGAATTTCTACTTTCAATTCTATAACATTCATATCATGATACTTAGATATGATACTTGGCGAACTATGTGAACTTCAATTATTCGCGGAATTCGCAAATTTTAATCCTCATATTTATTGGTAGGATGCAGATTTTTTTATTCTTCATTTTCGAATGAGTTAAGCGTCATACTAACAGTGTTTCTGTTTTCATAAAGTTAGATTAGCAAAATCAAAGATAATCCATTACATATATCTGACAGTCTAGAATTTCAAAAAATATGAATACGTATACGGGAAATGATGATCACAAAAACAACTTATTATTATTCTTTTATAATTTATAAAGAAAAACATTCGAAAATAATGCAAACCAACAATATAAAGATGAAATGCGTCACATAACTTTAAAAAGTGTTAATATACTGCTTTTATAGTAAATATACATCAAAAAGAATTGAAAATTTCTTTGCCCAGGAAACAAACCTTTGTTTAAATTAAACAGTATAGTTTTTACCGATTTAACAAGACAAATATTTTAGGCGTAAACATTATTAAACATATCTTCACAAAATCACATGATGCATAATGTTAAGCTGATCCATCTTTTTTTTTTTCTCATTTTCCTTGTAAGTGAATAATAAATGACAAATTATCCACTTTTAATACAACTATGTCTAATATTAATATTATACTATACCCGTAAATGCACCTTTGTTATATCAATGCCACTCTACTTCAGTAGGTTTAACGTAGCACAAACATTGTAAAGGTATGACAGTGACCTTCTCACTTTACTTGTGAACGAAAACTTCCCGCATAGACTATTAAGGAAGTTTAAATGATCTTACAAATAAATAATCATTACAAGTAAAATTTGTATAGAGCTTAACACATCAGGATCTTACATTTATTTCAAAGGTATTCTTTTGTTGTTGTTTCTTTTTTCATTTTAGTTAAATATTTTGATACGTTGAATACTGTCTAATATCCTTTTAACGTTATTGTTTATGTAGCATATTTAATAACAATTGTTTAATTTATTACTGTTCACGACTTTGTTTGAGAATTCGTAAAATAATAAGTCATGTTTCAACGAAATGAGTTAGTATTCAGTTAGGTAAGTAATATGTTGTTTTTTCGCATGTTATTATAGTTATGTGAATTTTCTTATGCAATGCATCAGTAAAAATGTTGATCAATATAACGTAAAATTTCGATTTGAGATATGATTATTCTCTTTGAAAAGTATTTGATGGTCATTTCTGATTTTTGTTGTTGTTGTTGTTGTTGTTGTTTTAAATCCATTTTATGAAATGATATATTATATTTCGTAACGTTTTATACGTTTTGCTTGTTTTAAACAAAATGTCAACAGATTTTCTAAAAGTAGCTGATAAAACGATCATACGATGAAACAATAGAAAGTGGTGCCATAACAGAATACATTGAAAGGTGCTTTTTAAGATAAAATTAATAGGTAACACATTTTGACAAGTCGAACGTTTGGTAAAATAGATACTTAGCAAAAGAAATTTGTAAAAAAAATCGCGAGACACTTTTACTTAATTATGTGAAGTAAAATTTGAATGTATGTTTACTGTTCTTATTGTTATGTGTTTGAAAAGTGTAAAGTGTTTCTATTACACTACGGCATAGTTTATTTTTCACTATTAAATAAGAATGAAATTCATTACAATTTTCTTACGTTTCTTAACCTCAAGCTGGTTAATAAAAATAAAATTCATATTTTGTTAATAGTTTTATATTATATTTGAAGGCACAATAGCTGATACAATGACAACACTGATACCAATGCTTCTTCTTTCATTAATTTGCATTCAATTCGGTAAGTTGTGTTCATTTGTTTTAATTTGTTAACTGTAATGTAACCAAATAAGAAAAGAATAATTGTCAAGCAACATAATGCAAAAATAATGAGAATTTATAACAATCCCTAAAGAAAATTATTCTTGAAAAACTTTATCTTAATAATGAACATAAATTCTTCTTTATTCGCGGTATGTTTAATAAAAAAATCCATTTGTGCAACGCACGGTTCAAATTTACCGAATTTATTTATTCATTGAAGGATTATCACTGCAAGCTTGTCAAGAGTGTGCATGCTGTAGCAATGGACAACATTTTTGTGATAGTAGAAAGATCTGTATAGATGGATGTCAAGCAGGTTATTATGGTGCAAAATGCACCGAACAGTGTCTGGAAAATTGTGAATCATGTGTTGATGGCTATGAATGTACAGAATGTCGACCTGGCTATTATACCAACAAATGTAATTTACCATGTGGGAAAGGTTGTCTGAACAGCACATGTTCAAAATTATCAGGAGAATGTACTTGTAAGTCGGCAGATTTTGTCAAAGGTAAATGTGATTTTTGTTTGGGGCATAAGTATGGTAATGAATGTGAGAAAACATGTCCTAGTAACTGTGGAAGTTGCATATCAGATACACATTGTGTCTGGTGTGTAGACACTGCTTATTACGGATCATATTGTCAATATAGATGTTCGGTTGGTTGTGTCGATAAAATATGTAATAAAGGAACTGGGCACTGTACTAAACGATGCAAACATGGTTTTGTCGGGGATAAATGTGACATCTGCTCGTTTGGTTTATACGGACCCAATTGTGATTTAAATTGCACAGAAAATTGTATTGAATGTTTTTCGGCAACAAACTGTACAAAATGTAAATCTGGTTTTTATGGGGATACATGTGCAAATGCATGTCCAGCTGGTTGTGATAAAACCTGTTCATTTTCCACTGGACAACATTGCAATTGGACAGAACAATACCGTGTTTGTGAAAGAGATACAGGGAGTTGTTTACACGGATGCAACTTGGTTACAAAATATGGCGATTTTTGTGAGAAACAATGTAGTAATACCTGTTACAATCAAAGCTGCGACTTGGAAACGGGACAGTGTTTAGAAGGGTGTGAAATGGATTTTTACGGATTATTTTGTAATAATTCATGTTCTACTTCATGCATATCTCAAACCGGCAAACTAATATGTGATGGAATGAAAGGTCACTGTTTATTTGGATGTAAAGATGGTTTCCATGGCAAAAGATGTGACAACATATGCAGTAGACTATGATTAAATACAACCTGCAACCAAACAACAGCGGAATGTGTATATGGCTGTATAGATGGATTTAAAGGACCTAAATGTGCTGAAGGTAAGTCATAATTGCAAACCAATAACAATTTCATGAACAAAATATTACAAAGCAAATATTTTTAACAATTCAATTGTTAACAAATGGTCTTTTTCTTGTTTCCATTTGAAGAATACGTTTGACTTTTTACTCATTATTAACGTAATGTCGACGTATACAATTTAGTAAACCTTTAGCATTTTAACAATTTGCTACGCATTTAAGTGCATTTTTTTTAAAAAACTCATTTTAATAAGCTACAAATACAGTTACAATTCATGACAAATAATATGAATAATTTTGTTTTTTTTCCATCAGTTATACCGGATCTAGAAGGCTATTATACAAGAAGTACACTGATAGGATCTACAATAGGGACATTTCTAGCTGGTGGTATTATTGCCGGAATTGCATTCTTGATAACTTTCATTGTATGGAGGCGAAGGTTTGTAACAATATATTATGTACAAATTTTGATAATTGTAAAAGAGGATAATATTTTTTCATATTATATTTTGATATCTCTGATAAGAGGATACTGGGAAATAGCTCATCCTTTATACATACACATAATTGGTGCATTTTAAACTATCTTAAAACTGAATTTAAAGTAACAAATACCTGGCAAAATTGAGTGTTATATATAAGCACTTAACCTTCTATATTTTTAGGAATATTCAAACTAAAGAAGTACATGTACACGGATATGAAAATGCGATACCTTGTGGAAATGTTTTTTC